GTGTCATGGCGGGCAATGGTGATATCTCCCCCCCTCCTACTCAGAGATGGAGACAGGTCCCCCGCGCAAGTCAAGTTCAGTTCCCTAAAGCGGGGCAGGAGCTGGAAGAAAAACCTTGTGCACTAGGCATCTTCTGTCCCCTGCGGCACTGGCGACTCGACATGCCCGGGCGACGACTCAGCCGAAAGAAGGCGGTGGCTTCGTTGAACAAACTGGAGGTGGATCACGCTGACAGAGCAGGATAAACAAGGCTTAGCTGACAAAGGATTTTCCGAACTAGGGTGCTAGAAGGGCCTCTAAGGTTGTGGTACCCTAGAGGTGTATGCGAAAAGTGGGGGAACACATTAGGCTCGTTTCTGACCCGGAATCGAGTAGAGCAAGAGTGTTATGGCCCCCCAGTACGACTGAAATATATATATACACAACGGGCATTGCCTTTGCGAGCAAGGTCGCCCAAGAAGGTTAAAGAACAGGGGGGTGCAAAATTGGGAGTGGTTGTTTCAGGGAGTGTGCTGAGTTCTCTTCCCCACCCTACAAGGTAGACTTGAGCAGCAGAGGGGAAGGTCACTTGGCTTAGTCAGGTGGGCTGCGAGTCGGTGTCGAGTTTTCTGACGAGTGCGGTGGCATTACCTGATTTGGACCCTGAGATAGTCATCAATAGTCGAGTAGCGAGTATTGGTCTGAATCGCCGTAATTATTAAAATCAAGGGGAGGGTGATCTACCTCTCCCCGTGTGGGAGAGGGCGTTTGTTCTCGGCATACACTTGACATATGCGGAATGTCTTGCTCGTCTGTGGAAGTGGGCTCGGACCCACTTAGGTCACTCAGGACCTGGGAGTACTCCCCCCTTCTCCTGTCAACCTGCAAAGTAGTTTGACTATCAGAGAGGGAGAGTTTGAGGAGACCAGCAGCTGCATCTTGTGGTGCAGGGTTGTCTGGCTCCTGGTGAGCTTCTGCTCCTAACCTACACGGTTTTTGATTGCCCATTTTACTTCTTTGTAAATGGCAACAACAGTGGTTAGAATTCCCTACTGTTAGTAAGAAAACTGTTAGTGTTTACGGTTAATGCAGGCACACAGTGAAATGCCTAGTTCTGTGACTTACAATTTCTACTGTGAGCCGTTAATTACTGCTCTGAGGTGCACAGTGAAACGCTTAGTTCTGTGACTTACGATTTCTACTGTTGGACGTCAATTACTGCTCTGAGGTGCACAGTGAAATGCCTAGTTCTATAACTTACAATTTCTACGGTTGCTCTGAGGTATTAACTACTGCTTTATAATCCAAAGGTACAAAATGCTAATGTGGTTTTAGCACTTCTGGCCTGTGACAACTGTGTGTAACTTTTCTTTAAGGGATTAAGAAAAACAAAAAAAAAGTGTTGGTATTACAAATAAACGATCAAATCTACTAAACACATCTGACTGTTAGGTTAGGAAATGAAACGAATAATTTAACCTGGAAAGGAGAAGAAATAACAAATTTCGGAAAGGAAATTAAAATAAAAAATTTAATTAAAATTAACATTAAAAATCAAAATTAAAATTAAAATTAAAAATTAAAATAAGAAAAGATTTTGAATATCAAAAATCAAAATATTTTGGAAAATAATTTTCAGAAATTTGGATTATTCAAAAAAAAAAAAAAATTTAACTGCATACATTGTCTGCTAAATGTATCCCATGAGTCTAGTGATATGTGTATTTTTTAAAACAGATTAATCTTCTCTTATATTTTCTGTTATGATTCATATTGACAGTGTGGACTTAGTGAGGTAGCAGAGTACTTTCACTTTTATTTGTATCTGCTCTCCAGTTACCTGCAACGTGACCATACATGATATCTCAATAATTCTTATTTCTCTTTTTCTGTTGCAGACTTAATCTAGCCTTGTGCAGCTGTAACTTAGCCATAGTGGGAGTCCCACCCTTGTTAAACCATAGCATTCTGTGTAATTCTTCCGCTATTTCCCTCTCCCAAAAGCCTCTCCTCTACTCTGTGTGAGTCTCCTTCACATTAAATCCACAGTAATAGCAGCGTGTATTGGCAGCCGTGGCCCACGGGGACACTGCGGTACACTACCTTGAGATGTCAGCAGAGCCAGCCCTGTTTTGGAATTGATCTCTTGGTAATCTTCTCTCTCCACCGGGCTCCCAAGCATCTTCTGGCAGAGAGCGATTAAAGAGCCCATCAACCAACCGCCACCCCACCACCCCCTCCTCAGTCCATTCCAGACCACCCTTTCTGACTCTCGTCAGCAGCAGTAGCACCAGTACACATCAGTAATGACACTGCCCTGTGGCCTCTCTCTGTCTTCTCTACTTAAGGACAATAAAGGCCTCTGGATATGTGCATCAGCTGGACTGTGATGACTCATTCCCATGAGTGACATCATCATCGTTGATCAGATGATATTATGTTGTCTGAATGCTTCAACTGATGACTGTACACCGGCCGCATCGATATGGATCAGTCAAACGATCAGTCTGTGTTAGTTGCTGTGGCCGTCATCATTATCACCACTGCTGCTCCAACCACAACCACAGCTATTTTAGGCACCACATAAATATGCGTAAAAGAGCCTGCTATAATTACTTCTATTCTTTATGCAATATCACTCACTTCAGCATCATTATATTCTGCACTGAAACTTTTTAAGGTTATGTCCATGTCGAAATTAACATCTTCATCTTTAATGACTCGCACTCGGTTTCTCATCCCTATTTATAAGAGTATCCTTTCTGCTCGACAAAGTTGTCCAAACTACTTTCGGCAGAGGAGGGAAAGAGAGCACAGAACTTTTTTTCTATATTCCAGTAAAATTACTGTTAGGTTGCTTAAATTTCTCCCAAGTAAGTTGTCTTTGAATAATTTAGAGAAAAATACTAGAATAGCTTATAAAAAGTGCTTGTGCAAACATTCAAACTTCTGGAGATTTTATTTTCCAAGGTTTCAGTGCTATCGCCTACAAGTACGAGGATCATTTTGGCAGCATCCAACTCAATTTAAGATTCAGAGAAATATAGTTAAGGACTACTTTTCAGCAAGAGGTGGCCAGAGTTAAATATTAATTACACACACAAAGGCCATGGGGTTGTTAAATGCTATGGAAGTATATTAACGAAAAAAAATCCGGCACCTGGACTCCAAATGTCTAAATAAGTTGCAGTGATGAATTTACTTCTCTCTCTAGCCGCTGGGCAGTCGGTAAGCCCGAATACTCTCAATCTGTTCATGAAGTTGGTTGTCGACAGCTCTCATTTTAGTTGTGTTGTGGTCCGTGTTCAGTGATCTTACATGGGTGTCCGTACAATATTTCATGGAAATCTTCATTGCAAAGCTCCCTCTGAGCAATAAGTGGTGGTTGTAATTACAAACAAAGGGTTGTTACTTGATTCAAGCACAATGTCGGGGTACTATTTGGAATTACTTTGGGTGTTCTGACAGAAATGGCTACTTAGTAAAGTGTTGATCCTTTGGAGTTAGAACCGGATCTATGCTCAGGTCTACTCAGGTTAACAATTTAGATGCTGTTGTGCTCGACGGAAAAATGTATGTGTGTGAATTTGTAATAGCCTTTGTAAGATAAGATAAGGTCTTGGGCTCCAAGCCGCTGCATCACACAATATACTTACCAGCATCACAATCCACATGCACGCATAGAACATAAATCATACATACACTCATGCAAAAACATGCTGAAGTAGACATGTCTACTTTGTAGCTTTGTAAAGTGTCGTTAAATTTTCTTTGACCATCCATCCATCCATCCATTTTCCACCGCTTATCCGGGGTCGGGTCGCGGTGGCAGCAGGTCAAGCAGGCCGACCCAGACCTCCCTCTCACCGGCAACATGTTCCAGCTCATTCTGGGGGATCCCGAGGCGTTCCCAGGCCAGCTGGGAGATGTAATCTCTCCAGCGTGTTCTGGGTCTTCCCCGGGGTCTCTTCCCAGTTGGACGTGCCTGGAAAACCTCCAGTGGGAGGCGTCCAGGAGGCATCCTAATTAGATGCCCGAACCACCTCAGCTGACTCCTTTCGACGCGAAGGAGTAGCGGCTCTACTCCAAGCTCCCTCCTGATGACCGAGCTCCTTACCCTATCTCTAAGGCTGAGCCCGGCCACCCTATGGAGGAAGCTCATTTCGGCCGCTTGTAGCCGCGACCTTGTCCTTTCGGTCACGACCCAGAGTTCGTGACCATAGGTGAGGGTAGGAACGTAGACCGAGTGGTAAATTGAGAGCTTTACCTTCCGGCTCAGCTCCCTCTTCACCAAGACAGTCCGGTGCAGCGCCTGCTTTACTGCTGCAGCTGCACCGATCCGTCTCTCGATCTCCCACTCCATCTTACCCTCACTCGTGAACAAGACCCCGAGATACTTGAACTCCTTCGCTTGAGGTAGGCACTCCGTCCCCACCTGGAGGGAGCAATCCACCATTTTCTTTGACCAGCATAACATTACTCTACGTTACAGTGTGTCTCCAAGACAAACTAAATCGGTAAACATTTGTGAAAACTCTCTCTTAATGTCACAGAGGAGAGAGACAGACAGATTGCAGCAGATAATGGAGAGGTGAACGGTACATGGACTAGACTGCATGAACCGTATCTGAAAATTGTGTGTGGGACACACAATTTACTTTTTTTCAGGAAACTAATCTTAACATACAGAGGTGGAAGAAGTACTCACCTCTCTCTTTAAGTAAAATTAGTAATGTAGAATACTCTCTTTCAAGAAAAAGTCCTGCATTCTAAATATTACACAAGTAAAAGTACAAAGTATTAGCATTAACATATATTAGGCTACCAAAAGTAAAATGATTCACTTAGTACAACAACCAATTTTAGAATAATATATAGTCTATTATTGGACGATACTTATTGATGCATTAATGTGTTCATCACTTTAATATTGCAGCTGGCACTCATTTAAATTACTTTACATACAGCTGGATAGTATAGTCCCCCTGAGACACCCTGACCCCCTTAATATTTTTTTCTAGAATTTCAATCTCATTTCATGGATTTCTTCAGCAAAACAGGCGTCATCACTTGATCTAAATGTGAATGCCGAAGCCGGCTCTGTTCTCTGAGGACAACAATGTGCGATTGAAAGATTGTAAAAATAAACCTGAGTGGAACTTTGAGCTCAAATTGTATCGTTGCATGTTTGCAAATGTCAAAATACATATATAAGTATATGTATGTAGAATAAAATACCAACACAGGCTTGTTTTTTTTTCTTTATAGGTTGAATATTACTTCCTCAAATACATAGTATTTCTTTACAAATATTGTAAGAAAATGAGAACACAGTTAACAGACTTCTTTCCATTTAATAAATATGATTATAAATGCATAAAACAATTACACACAGCACAGTTGAGGTCAAACAAAAACACTGTAACACCTGACCGTCTGTTCTTATACAAAAGCTGTACAGTAATAAAACTCTTTTTTTTATTATTATTAATATTTGTCTACAAAAATAATAATCTTGCTAATTCTGCAGGGAAGATGAGATAGAGAGAAAGACGGAGGGAGGGAGAGGAATAAAGAGTAGATCTACGGCTTGATTCAGTTTCACTCTCAGGTGCATCCCAGCTTCCACGAACCAGGAGGCCCCAGATCCCTCGAGTTACCAGGACTTCCTACCAGTTTGACCTTCCCCCAATGAAACCCACAGGCAGAAGGGGCTTTTATCATGACAGACCTCCTGATCTGGTCATTTTTTTGTTCCCTGTGGTCTGAGGTTTCAGGCTACTGTATGTCTCCCTCAAGCTGTTAAAATCAGTGCCAGAACCCCTTTTCTAAATTTGAACAAAATACTACTCAGTACTTTAAATCCTTATTTTGCAAAACTTAAAAACAATTCCTTAATTTCCTTAATCATAGAAAATCCAATCATTATTGTATTGCTACATTCCTAAATCTTTCATTGATGTTGCTGATCTTCAGAAATCACCTCCAGTATGTTAAATAACCCTTTTACACCATGCAATGGAACAAGATACATCACTTCATAGCTGAGTGCAAAGTCTGTCCTGCAATTTCAGATGGAACATATACAGCTACAGTGGAAATGAAGACGGATGCCAGAGTTGTTACCAAAATCATCTTCGCATGCAGCTGTGACATATAAACGCTTCATTTTAAATTGAAATGTATCATCCAAAAAATACTAACCTCTGAAATTGAGACAGGCTGTTTACAGTGTCCCAATGGCACTGTCCACAACCACTCAAAGACTCAAACGTACTCTGTATAGCACAACTTAACGTCTGTGTGTGTGTGTGTGTGTGTGTGTGTGTGCGCGTGTGTGTGTCAGTGAGACTGTGTGTGCCCGCCGTATGTCTTGAGAAGCATTCATCTGATCTACTTTGCATTTGGCGGTGTATTGCTGGGGGCCCAAGGACGTGCAGCACTGAAGTTGGTGCAACGTGACATATCAATAAACTTTGAGCTAACAAGCGATAGCGCTCTGTTAAGCAGCGGGGGCGGGGCTTCGGGGCTCTGCGGACTGAGTCAAACATGTTGTCCGCAGCGCTGGATGCTGGACCGACTAACTTTTCAACCGAACTCTTCCTCACTTCCCTGAAGTCAACGAGCGCTGAGCGGTTTGTCAGAACCCTGCAAGCAGCACCACTGGGAGTCAAGCAATCGACCCGTTCCACACGGGCCACACCCCATACGGGCACTGCACTAGTAACAAGCAACAGAGACTTGCATAAGAGAAACAGTGCATGGCAACACATGCCTCTGGCAATGAACTGCTTTGTTCTGCACCGATAGTGACAACATGAGAAAATACCTGACCATTCAGACTTCAAACCTACATGCTCAAAAAAAAAAAAAAAAAAATCAAGCTTGAGGCTGTTTGTATCTTTACGTGTGAGCACACTGCCAGGATACGCCATCATCTTACTTCTTAGCACTGATGCACATCAACAGACCAGAAGAGCAGCAATTGTATGACATCCAATCTTTCAGCGTGACACACCCGACTTGAACGTTGTGTAAATAAGTAACCAGGACTTGAGTAACCTACTCTGTAGTCAGTAATTAGTTGGTGGTAACTTGAAAATGTTCCATGTAGCATAATACATCCTAAAATCAAAAAATGTACAAGATGGGGCCTTGCAATTGGTAATGATGCAAACATGGCCTTAAAGGAGTGTGCGCTCACCCCCTTTTCCAAGCATTTCGGAGAACTACGGTGGCCTTCAGGTTGTGTAAAAACATGAAAGGCCCTCTCTAGAGCCAGTGTTTGGTTTGTCCATACTGTGCTACTGTAAAAACATGGCGGTGAAACATGGCAGACGTGAGGACCCGCTCCCTATATACTGTAGATATGAAGGACTCATTCTAAGCTACGAAGACACAGCAATTGTTAGTTTCAGGTGATTACACACAGATTTTAGATATGAATATTATAATCTATTTATTTCAATGTATCCCCCTAATCCTACACACTTCCTTGTCATTTAAATTGATAATGAATATTAGTGGTACACACAGTAGTAATAAACTCATATTGAAATAAATTGATTATCGCAAACTAATTCATACACAGTAAACCTGGCGTCCTCGAGTCCCCCTAAGGCTCTGGGCCAAATCCGAAATTGCCTGGTTGGTAGTCCAATCTTGTACAGTAAGCAACCTTCCACTTACATCATACGTTTACGTGACTTTGTGTGAGAAACATTACCTCATACTGGCAATCTTAAAGTCCATCTAAGGAGCAATCCCAGGGTTCGGAATAATGATGTTCTTGGCAGGTATTTTCACTGCAGAGCTACCAATGAATACTGTCAACTGGATTCCTTTTTGAACTTGTGACCCCTATATATTCCTTCATTACTGGCCAGTCCTGCCTCCCCTAATATCCCTCAACATCTTGTGTTTCACTTGCGTCCCGTCTGAATTCAATCGCTGTAAACTACTCCTCACTTGGCATCGTGTTCAGTGGACCAAATGAAGCAACGCTATGCAAAGCAGCCAGTGTGTGTTGCGGGCAAGTGTCTAATCATCGCTCCTCAGTACAGACCACAGTTACATTCTCTACTGATTGTATTGTGGGTATATTTATTATGAGCATTTCTGTACAGCCACCACTGAACAATCGTAGAAAAGAGCATCTATAGTTGACAAAACCACACTCTCCCTGTATTCCCACATCTCCACAGAATAAAAAGAGGGAAAACTAATCCGGAAAGGTTGCCTCTGAAGATTTGAAAGGCATCAATCAGGCATTTACATCTGTCAGATTTCGCACACACAGTACCACGGGGCTTGACAGTCCTCCGAACAAGCTAACCATCTGTGTAGCCTGGTAGCATCTGCGCTCTAGTTCTCCTGCTCCTACAGTGTGATATAATGAGCTGGGATGAAGATGGGTGCTACTCGAGAGCGGGTCGGGACATTAGCCTAAATGTGTCACCAACCTTAACCAGCCTTGAGCTTGACTGGCCACATTAAGTATTCAAGAGTGCAACCTCTTCTTATTCTGTTCAATAGAACACTCTGAATGCGTCTTGGCCCCAATAAGCACTCTTCCATCTCTCTTAGCACCTCTCTCTCTTTCTCGCCGCCATGCTCTTTGGATTCTCCCACAAAGTGGTTGTATCTCATTCCATCTGCTATCGTGAATCAGAGCTTTGATAAATTGTACTCCGCCTCCAGTAGGGATATTGGCTTTGATCGGGGGTGAGGCTGCGAACCACTTTGGAATACTTTTCTTTTTGAGATAGTCCTCCTGTTACCTCCTGTTTCTTCCTCTATTCCGAAAAATTGTAAATTCTTGTATTCGATCACTTGCAGCCTGAAGGTGCAGTGTAGCATCGTAGCATCGAGTGGTCACTTATTCTAAAGCACAACACATTTTACAAACTGGTATGTATCATGAATAGTACCAGAAGCATTAGATTAACAGCAAAGGTTCAATTTATGCAGAAAACCAAACCCCGTATTTTTGTTAATAAATTAAAATCTGGAAAAAAGGAAAATGTTTCAGTAGAAAATGTGTATTGTGCCATTAATCAGCGTTCCAAGAGACAATGGACCAAAAGCTTTGAAGTACCCTATTCACATTTTATAACAACATTTCTGTTTAGTATGACACTTGTTATTAAAGTACACAAATTTATAACATAGACATTCATGATTTACAAAATAAATGTGTAATTCACTTCAATAACATACTTCATGAAAGTATATTCATATGAATAAATAATATCCTACTGCTGTTAGCTTCATACAACAGCAAACCAATCTCGGATATGTAAGCAAAACCAAAACAGTGTTACTTATTTCATTTTTTACCCTCTCTAGATCATGCTGGTGCTCCCTCTGAATTATGTATCTGACTTGTATGGGTTCCTATCATATGTTGAAAGAAAATTATAACCTGTACACAGTCTCTTCTGGTTTGAACAGAGCACAGTATGTGTCAGCAAGGTCCAACACGCACAGGTATAAAGCTCAAAACCATTGTGTCCCAAATGAAAAAAAAAAATATATCCATGACGCAGCTGGAATGGTAATCCAATCCAAAGTTTAGACGATGTACGTGGGGAGTTCTGTAGAGAATTTCACATGTACATGAGGTTTCATACATCCTGGGGATAAACAGGACAGAGAAAGAAACAGGTGTCAGAGGATATGTTGTACTAGTAGCTGAATAAATATGGAACGTTTGGCCAGTCGCATTACAGTAGGTGAAACTTTAAATATGCATTCATGAATTCATTGATTTTTGGCCTTGTGGGGCAGCAGAACAAGCTGAAAAAAACACAACATCTGACATTATGTCAGGAAAACATGTTAGCAAACAGTTTAGACATCCGGCAAACATGGAGCAACATTAGTATTCAGTTGGAGTTGTGTTTTTGGAAACTCAATCAATGTAAGTCCAACATTTATTCTCCTTTTTAGTTCTGTTTTGGTCTCAACCACAGTACAATATCTGGCTCTGTAGTTGCTTTAAGCTCCACCATGTTTACCATTTACCTGCTAATCTCTAGGCACCAGGGCAATGTTTTGGTATTGGAAGCGTTCTGGTTTCTGTTTGTGTTCTTACACAAACAGATTGACCAGTACGTTGGAGCAGACTTTGGTTGCATGCAAGGAAACAGTCTGTGTGATGAAAATGTTGCTTTTTGAGTGAGACATTGTCTCTCAATGCCAACGGCATTCTCTCATTGCAAGTTGGTAATCGGATGGTAAATAATGGCCGTCGCCTGGAAGAGGAAGTCTTGGGTACCTGAATCCCTGTCAGCTAACTTTTTCTGTCTGCCTCTTAATGATGGCAAGTAGTGTACACTTAACACAATCACAGTCATTTAGCAGACGCTTTTATACAAAGTGACTTACAATTCAGATTCTATCCATACACCGTAGGCACAGCTACGGGAGCAATTTTGGGGTTAAGTGTCTTGCTCAAGGACACATCGATATGCGACCAGCGGAGCCGGAGATCGAACCGCCGATCCTCTGATTGAAGGACGGCCCTGCTCTCCACTTATCCACCGTCGCCACAACAGATATTGATTGTTTTTAGGTGGGTCTTTGTTTTGCTGCTGGCCCTGTCCACAACAGTATATTGCTTAACTCCTGTGTCGGTACTAGTGGCCGTTTGTCTAAACTGGGGGCGTGTCGTCCGCCATCTACAGTAGTTAACGCACTGACTATGGAAAGGTCCCTGATATAACTCTAAGTCAACTACAACAGGCCGTAGTTTATTTACTGCAATGCAGACGTTTGAAGGTGTTCAGACATTTTAAATCAAGATACTTTTAAATAATTTTAATGTAAGTTACACAGCAGTATCTACCAGCTAACACTAACTAACATTAGCTCTGAAAATGTGCAGAGTCTCATTTTTGTGAAACAGGACATAGAATGTGAATATGTCCTAATAACAGTATCAGTCAATGTCAATCCCTAAATGTTCATATTCATAGTGCCACAGAAATATAGCACCGTTTATCTCCCCCTGAAAAAAAGACTGTAGTTATAAATTCATGAATGAGTTTGGGGTAACAACATCATGTTAGGTCATCACAATCAAACACTATATGAGAATAACACAGGTGTGTGACAAATTACAGGAAGAACCGGAATAAATCAGGGAAGACACAGATAAATCAAATGCTAATGTTTCCACACAGGGCACACAGGTTTACTAAATGCTTTGATGAATATGAAAACGATGAATCATGTACGATGCCTGTACAGCACTAGATTTCAACCCAGCGGCACAGCTGTGGGAGACTTTTGAGCAAACGTCTTAGACTTTGATTTTTCTTGAATTTGTCACTCATCTGTATTCTCAGGTGATCTAAAGGGTGACAGAACTGAGGGGATCATTGGAGAAGCAGCTGTTTTTATCATCATACTCATTTTTGCTTAGCTGTCGTTCACCCCTTGACCGGACCATTTCACTTCTGAGAAACACACAACAAAAAGCACAGGATGAGTCTCATGAAACAACAAACACAATGGTATGAAATAAGCAATGGAGGAAACAAAATGGAAACGCCAGTGACCGATCAGAGTCGACCCAGAGTGGATATCTACCTATGGGCCGTGAGTTAAACTCTGTGTCCAGAATCTCCAAAGAATGCACCAAGTCCTGCTGCGAACTGGGTGTGCCCTCTGTTGGATTAGCTGGACTCATCATTTCTTGTTCTTTTTCGTTCTGCATCTGCGCATAGACGTTGAGGCCTGGGATCTTCCTTGAGGAAAGATTTACAGTGAGACAAAGGGATAAAGACAGCAGCCTAACTAAGACAAAGAGAGCAAGGACACAACAACCAGGAGCCATCTGCAACCACACAACATTATTTACTCAACATGTTTGTAACTTCTGATGATATGATTAAGAACATATGCATGCAAATAAGTATTTACACAAGTAGTAAATGTGATAAGGTCTGAACAGCTGAACTTTTATATTGTCTCCGTACATCTTCATGATCCTTCATTCCCTTTTCCCTTGAAACTGCACCTTGGACATAATTTAACATTTCAGAAAGGTCAACTGCCCACGTTTAAAGGGCTTATTATTGATAGAAGCTGAAGGCTGACTGACATTTCTTTTGCAAAGAATGACCTGACAAAAGAATCTCCACAGGATTCCCTAAGCCAATTCTCCACTGAGGAGCACTGGGTTTGCCTGTTGAAGATGTTTGACAGGCAGCTATAAGCCTCACAGGCAGCTTTTGTTTACCGAGCTGTCAGGACGCTGTGACACCTTTCACCGTCTCCCTATCACATACAGCGTGACGACTATACACACATGACATTTCATGAACACCTTACCTCTTGAACTTGTAGATGACAAATACAGCTAAACCCAAAACCACCACTGATAACAGCATTAGCATGGCAGAGCCACTGTGGTTCTCGCTGGTGTCCACTAGAGGCGCTGCAGAGACAGGAAGACAAGAGCCACAGAGTGTAAGCAGTACAACACATCAACACAACCTGTATTTCCACCCAGCTGAATCATGCAATAAGCAGTCAACAGGATAATTTACACCTATTGAAATCATAGATGAATCATTTTAAAATACAGTATTATGGACTTTTCTTACTCTTTATCTTATAAGCCTCTTTAGGACAGTAGCAGCATCCCCAATAGGAAGAGGCACACATACTTGTAACGATGCTCACTCTCTGAATGTCTCTGTGTAGCTACATGGTGGGAGCCAATCAGACACAGGGTTATTAGTTGACGGGGGCAGCAAAAAGAATAATATACCTGATTGTCCATTATGGAAGCCCATAAAGGACATGTTAAAATGATAATGTGTTTCAACAATAGCATCCTAATTATCCACATATGTATATGTTGTTTGAGTGAATGTTTTAATGAAAATGCAATAATCCATTTGAGAGCAGGTTAAGTCTTTGAAAATGTAATGTCAAATGTTGTTTTCATTTTTATTTTAAAATGGTTAGAAAATTGCACTTTGATATTAATGGTGGCTCGATAACAGAAAACTAGGCCACATAGTTATTCCATTTTAATTTTCAAATTTCAAATTGACGATTGAATAGTGTCCAATGTGGGTTTGACTCATGTCTCTTGTCATGTGAATACGGTCATAGAACGGCCATTTGGAATGTGAAAATGAAAATGAGATTATTTCATTTTTATTTGAAAAGTTTTACTCAAATAACACATGTGGAACATTATAAATCTATTGTGAAACTACATTTTCCTTTTCAAGTGTAAAAGTTTCATTTGAATAAGGTTCCCAATGGGCTTCCATAGGCCACTGTATTTAGGTCTCCTTATAGTCTGCATGCTTTATATCCTGTCCCACTTACTACATGAACTACAAAGGCCCTGCTGGGCAGCTCTGAACATACACAGGCAGCTCTGTTTGTTTACCTGCTGATAGGTGTGCTGCGTACACGGTGACTTGGACCCCTGGCCGCAACGTGAACTGGACAAGGTTTTGATTTAAGGAGCTGAGCAGAATCTCAGAGAGCTGTTGAGAAACAAAATAGTGTTATTTGTAGAAAAAAACGAATGTTATCATTGAGCAAAGTCATTACCAAGATCATCAAACCTCAGTCTCATCCAGCTTTGGTTTCAACTCGTCATTTAATAACTCTGTTCCGACATTTCAGAGCAAATTGGTTTGTTGTCCTGATCAATCTTACATAGATTCAGACAATGTTTTTAATGTCAGACTGAAAAATAATTGAGTCCAAATATCACTTGCCCTTGACAGCACTTCCGAAGGTGTTCTAGTTTAAATGTCTGCCTAGTCAGTCGGTGAATGATTGACAAGCACAGACAGTGGACAAATGAACAGAAGCACATCATGAAAAAAACTTGTTCGCTCAAGTCGAGGTAACGGAGGAAGCTGCATAAATCATAATTTCAAGGGATCACAAGCCAAAACAGGTCGGGTACTGAGATACACAACTGAGTCCGATTAAAGCTTTACTTGGGTCCAGCGCAACAAGCTTTTAACACAACATTGATATATTTTCCCCTCATTTAGTTGATAAGGCCAACAAGTTAGGAAAGTGGATGTGTAAAGTTGTTGATTTACAAACCCACACATACAGAGCAGTGTTAGTTTTATTTGAAGTCGTGTTTCCGTTTTGCTACCAAGCCCTTCAAGAAGAATCTGGCTGAGCAGCTAAATGCTCCCCTATATTCCTTAGCTGCTAGGTCATTTTGTTTATCTGCAGTTTGGTGCTGGGTAGGTAATGTATATATATATAATTATGTTTTTTTGCCTGTTGCACCTCGAAACTGCTAAGAAATATATTTGTGGGCCAGGAAACCAAAACAATGAGCTAAAAGGAGCTAAAAGATTCTTTAGTTCTGAGGGGGAATACAAGTTGGGTGATGATTATCTGTGGGTGTGTTACTATCATAGAGTGTATATAAAAGTGGACACAGTTGACACCATGGCATCACCCATTGGTTGGTGGACTATTGCTTTGAAGTGTGGTATAAATCGGGATGCTTATTTTGCCTAGTGAAAAACAAATGCTTCAAAAAAGTCTTAAAACACAATGTGCCTTCCAGCAAAAATGAATAGCCAATTACTTAGAGTGTCTTTTAGTACAACTAAATGCTGAGCAACGCTGTGGTAGGGACATGCCCGTCAAAGCGAACACACCCTTAATTATGCGTAACTATAAGCTTTAATAAAATTCAACAGGAAAGTTGTATAAAAATCCACTCCGCCTACAGATTGGGAACATGTTTATTTCTGCTGTAAAGTTCATTTTAACATAGAGGTATATGGGGGAATAACTCGCTTTTGAAGCCAGCCTCAAGTGGCCATTTATGGAACTGCATCTTTTTTGCTTTATTCCTCAGACCTGGAGGTTGCTGCTTTGCTCCTATAAATGACACCTTTCACATTACACATTTATTTGATCTATTGTCAATATGAAAATATCGGCTATTGCAGCTTTCAGTTCTAAAAGAAATTACCAAATCATGACAACATTACGCACAACAGACACAAGACAAGAGAAAGTGGTAAAGGGGTTATATATCAACCCTCAGCAGCAATGGCTGAAGTATATCATAGCACACAAATGACCCCTATGATGCACTTTAAACACTGAACATTATAAAGGTTGTATTCAACTGTATTATTTGTAAGTGCCTGTAATCCAAAAAAAACAGCACTGCTCTGCCAACAAGCCCATCTGTGCTTTCCTGTTTACGTAAGCGTCTGTCTGTGGGACCTTTCCACTGTGCTGCATAATGCATAGGACGAAGCCTCACTTGATCTCTGCTTTGATTGTCTGCTTTCAACCCTTTGGACTGAGAACATCTAACTTTGATATAAATCGGGCAGATTACCTTGACCCAGAGTCATAATCTATTTCCCTGCACACAGATCCTTTCTTTTATAAATCTCTATCCAGAGGCAGTAGTCCTTAAACAATCTACAAATGAATCTTTTCAATGATACTCTAATACCATGAAACGGTCCTTTCTCTGTTTTCATCTGCACTCAAAACAAATATATGGAGCTGCATATATAAGACATAAAGCTAAACAAAATACTCAATTTTCTCTCTGCAGATCCCAGTTTTTCCTCTGCAGAGGCTTCATTTATCTCATCTGCTTCATTTGCCAAATTAATAGCGATATGACTAATTTCTGTAGTGCTTCATCCTCCCCTCTATATTTCTTAGCAGTTTAAATTTAGACTATGCTATGACTAATAAGTTTTTCCCACTATACCAGGGTCAGTAAATCTATTATACATTCTAATAAGCAGGGCGCGCTCTACACTTTAACATGCCAACCTTGAATGAGGATTTATTGTTGGCTTGTAGGAGAGAGGATCTTTCTAGGCGATCAACCAGGTGTGAGCCGGGAGGGAAGAGGAAAATCTGATTGATTTCCTTCCCAGTTTCCTTCTCTACACATGCCCGCGGAATTCTTCCCACGGAAAGCAGATCCAACGCTGTTATCCGTCATTATCTATTAGCGAGGCTCAGAGCTAATTCGGTCCATCTTGATACGCCGGTGATTTAGTGAACCAATCAACCATGAACATTTCTTTGTCTGGCTCTTTAGGCTCGGGACTTCGGCCCGCCTCCCCCTCCCCCTCCCACCCCAACACCCCACAGGATGTGACTTGAGGGAGTTTAAAAGCCGTTCCCCCTGATAACTTGTTAATACTTGTCAGGCTTATTGATGAGTCTATTGCAGAGATTCCTCAGGCGTATTCTTGAATTAGCCTCTTTGAAAGACCTGGACATGCTTCAATAGATCGATACTGACACCTGCTGGAGGAAGGAGGAACTTAAATTTGGGATTATATTTCAGGGAGCAATTACTGGCAAAGCTGCTGCTGGAAAAGAGGATCAACCCGTGATTCACAAAGACAGAGAAAAGACAAGTGCATTTATGCATAGTGTTATGGTAGAATTACAATGAGGATAACAAGGTGAAATCCTTTCACCTACACAAATAGTGTCTCGGGCTGGGAAAAGGAAAAGACTATTGCACACACACAGCAGCAGACAGAGTTGTTGTCTCACCTGATCTAAATGAGCAGAGCTCTTCTCTGCTTTCCCCTCAGTTAACTGTTTGTCAGGAAGAAGAAAGAACTCTGCTGCTGTGGGTAAACCTGGGAGGATGGTGACCAGAAGCTGGTCCTCTGCTACGCCTGTGGCCTGGAGGGGAAGAAGACGGAAAGAAAAAGAAGAAGAGAGTTCATCCATTCATCCAGCACTGAGAATGGAAAACTGCCGTCTGCCATGGAATGCTTTCTTAGATTCATGATTGTCTGTACTGGAGTTCTTACATGAGATAGTTCTTCAATTACAGTTTTGCCAATTTCAGACTGTAATTTATTTAGACACAGTTTTGTATAATTTCTTTTGTTTAAAGGTTCTCAAAATACTATTTACCAGGGAGCCCCTCTTGTATGTCCCTTGGAATAATTTCATGTAGCCTATTTTAGATTAAACAGACTTAGTTTTGTTATATTATTAAACAAGAGACATGTATTAGAAATACATTTGAAGAGTCTTTGTCTGTGGGACCTTTCCACAGCCATGTTCTTCTGAAGGAGAATGTCTTTGTTTGTTTTTTATGAACGGCTGAGAGGTTTGTATTTAAGAGTACATTGTTAGCATCTTGTAATACATATTGATATGTTCTTGATCACTTTGTGTTGTCTATTTGCCTTTTCTGTTGAGAAGATAACTGAGACTTTTGTGGGTTTTGAGGCAGTGCTGGCCTTTCAATGTCATTTATAAATGCTTTGTAATGCATAAATAGTCCTCACTTTAGATGAGGTCACACAAAACACTTTACTAATGATTAGTAACTACCTGAATTAATCATGAATTGCAATATTAATAAGCGTTTATAAAGCATATATTAACATAGTCCCTAACCATTAGTGCATATCTAAATCATTATATATATAAATGTATGAATAATGTACATCTAAATACGTTATTAATCATTTACTAACACTTTATAAATTATGTTATCAATCATCTACAACTCATTAATAATTGGTTTGTAATATATATAATACTTCATTTATAAAGTATGAAAACACAATCATGAAACACATAATAGACGAGCTTATTAATCAAGAATAAAACATTCATAATGGTTATAAATTGTATACTAATGAATTATTAATGTACGAACAATGCTTTATAAATGATGAATTAAGTGTTTACTCATACTTAACTAATGCTTCATAGTGTGTAGTTATTATAAAGTGTTACCGAATTGTCTATGAAGGAAACTAAAGATGATTATAGAGTGTTAGTGCATCATCCGTTTACTGTTACATACTGTGCTGTTATTACAAACAACATTATTTATTTTTCTATAACTTCAGTTATTATGAAAGAAAAATAATTTGCAATCTGTTTGATTAATTGACATAAATCTTCCCATACTGAGCACATGGGCTGAGGGCTTCCATGTGTCTGTGCCCATGTGTTCACCATCTCATAATCCATCCAGGCACCAGCAGCTGGTCTCCAGGAAATATATTCCTATAAAGTATAACGGCGTCGTCATTAAACGTATTTTCTGCCCGACTAGTTTTGTTTTTGACGTATCACAAATAGGTTTCTAATCATAGTCCACACAGGGAGGAGGTCAGCTTGGTTGATGGGTCGAATGGACTTTAACCCAGGAGACTGTTAGTGTTCCGTGTGAAACGTCAACATAGACTTCATTTAATTCATGACTGTAACTTAAATGACATAACAAAGTGCTTATTTTTTGCCAGACTGTGATGTTTTACTTGTAGTAAAATTTAGTTCAATTTACAACATTAACCTCATGTTTAAACTTCAACTGTATTCCAGGAGAAAATCAGTTTTCCCTCGAAACGTAATTTGTACGGTAACTAGAACGTCAGCACATTTAAACCACACCAACCATATTCAGACACGTTACTTGCAGCATTATGCAGCTGCACTTTGTAGCTTGATGCATACATGTTGATGCTCTACTCAGTCTGCTGTGACTGTACGACAAACAGTTGTACAGTCATTTACTCATTATTTTCTCCGATTCTTGCCAGAGCCTCTGGTTGTTGTCTCAGCTCTCATGGCTGTGCTGCAGTGACTGTGGTAAGGTATCACATTATATTATCAACTGGTAGTTTTGTGTGTGTGTGTGTGTTCTGCCTTCCAGGCTGGGGATGTCATGGAAAAAATGATGTGAGTAACAAATAACAAAACAGACATGTTCACTGAAGACAGAACAGCCGGGTTTATTTTTGGCATCGATTTTGATTTTGCGGCATCAAAAAGTGTGAAAATATGATGCAAGGGCTCAGATTGCTTTCTGCTAGGAATCAGAAGAGCGCCGACGTTTCGAGGATGTGGTAAAAAAACAAAGTTAATGAGGCGAAATCTGTACCTGACATAGCATGCGTGGGTTTGAATCACGTCTAACATTTGACAGGTCGCTCTGAGCGTCCTTTCAGGTCAGTGGAGAACACATTAGGCACATACTGACATTTATTCTCCTGTACACAACATCCACAACCTTGTTACCACATGGCCCTGAACTCACACAGAGTGTGTGTGAGCCACTGCAATCAGCGTGCTCTTGAACTGTATTTCCCACCTCTCCTCCTTCTTGCCTTGTCATTTATCATCATAAAAGTCAGAAAGATGTCTCAAAGCCTCAGAGAGGTCACACTGCACTAATAGAACGTCAGAGGTCCAGTCAAGCACCGACAGCGTTTACCAGAGTAAAGCAAAGGTTTCTATGAAAAGACCTGAAAGAGCTTTACCTGGATCAGAGAGTTCTTGATGACTCGGCTCACATCCAGCCTCCATTCTGCAACATCAGGGTTGTGGTCGTCCAGGTTTGATGAAAAGGCAAGCAGATGAGAGCGGAAATATTCTGCAGGCAGAGCAGTAAACGTGTGTGAGCCGCTTTTACTTTTTTCATTTGTCAATAAATGCAGAGTTCAGCCTTGAGATTCAGCTCATGTGCATCAAAATCGATTGATTATTTATTGCAACTTGAGTCTCATTTCAGATCTCATGTAATGGCCACAGTGACACTGATGGAACGTAGCCAACGTTACAACAAGCATGAAAGATCCGACCACCAGACATGTTAACAAGCCAGCAGGTTATCCATATTAGACTATCTATATGATCGCTGCATCTCTACATGAAAGAAAAACAGCCATTTAAAATGGGCGGGGCTTCACTGAGCCAAGCTCTAAAAATGCTACTGTGCTTTTGTGATAAGTGCTAATATTTTATGGCAGAGGATAACAAGTATAATCAAGTAAACAATAAGTCAAACTTACTAAATAATTATTTACTATACTTTATACAATATTTATAAGCCATTCATAAGAAACTTTTTTATCATGAGAACAACCCTTTCTAAAAAGCTGACTCATTAGAAAGTGGTGCCACTTGAGAAGTACAATATTACCAATATATACAACAATCCCAGTGATGGAGTCTCAGAGTTGGCTCACCGTGGACAGCGATGTTTTTTCTGTCCTGCAGAATAGTATTCCCTGCAGACACCTGCACAGTGACTGTACTGATGCCTTCCCGGGAGAACGTGCAGGCCACACTACCCTCTAGGGTGATTACTGGCTGCTGGGGGGAGAAAGAGACAAGACAGGTAGAGAAGGTAGGGGAGAGGAAGAGAGTGAGAGTCTGGGGGGTTTGGGTGAGGGACCCTTAGCTGGTCTCACACTGCTGTTATTCACAATACAGAGGCGTGAGCACACACTCACAAGCACGCACTCACATGCACGAACATATGTTGCGAGCTTGGCAATAATCGGTGCTGTGCTGAACACAGTGTGGAGGCCCACAGAGAGTTCTCTGTGGACGTCCTGCCATTACTCACATCTCCATTTGTTCCTCAAATAGCTATAAGATGCTAATAATGTCGTGCTTTATTACCAACTGACATAACTGGCTGTCCTTGTGGAAGGCCGCTGATGGTGTTGAATAAACACATTAACACAACTACAATTATGAAGGCAAATAGTAAGAGTGTGGCATTTGTATATACATGGCTTCCAGCATATAGCGCACCTGTTGTACCAGAGAGATGGAGGCTGAGTGTTTTTAGTGTCTCAATCATCTCACTGTGTTTAGAAGTAGTGCATTAGATATTACAGTAATGCTTTTGGTTTATTGATTACATAAAGAGCAGTGATGGAGTCCTAAATATCAGGCCTGGCCCAACAAGAACCCTCAGTTTCTGTCAAATTCCCAACCGAGCGGGAACCACGGAAGCAGTTTTGGGTCCGAGCCCAATATAAAACCATGATCTCTACTGTAAATAAACAAAATCATAAATAGAAATATTTCTGCTCAATAATAAACTTAACGGCTGTCTGATTTTCTGCAACGGCAAAAAATCAATGAAACAATAGTCAATGTTGATATTCAAATTATGCCAAACTGTATGCTATTGATTATAGCACAAAGCATAACGGACGAATAAGGAAAAGGTAAGAGTGGTGGAGGGAGCTGCAGTGGCAAAACACCATTGCCATGAGCATGACATCACCATTGCCATGAGCATGACATCACAATAGTAAGAAGAGTCAGGTTATAATGGCCACACTGCTTGCATCGTGAACTAGATTATATTTTGACTGGCTCCCAGAGTTTCAGCAGTTTGGATCATTTTTGCATATTCTTGCCCTGTTGTTGTATTTTTTATTTATTTTTTTAACAAAGAACTGTAAATGAAGCTGGTATGGAGCCAGAAGTAGAGGTGACCTGGTGACTTCTATCTGTTTGGAGAATGTAGCCAGATCATTGCACCTTTAAAATATAATGTTTCCCTGTTTTGATGAGCAGAAAATAAATACTACAAACTTCCTACATTTTATTGTTGTGGCTGCAGACGTTTCAAAAGCAGACATCTCAAAATCCGTGCACATAAAACCAAAACTATCTGCATGGCAAGATACCATTAAGGTCCATTAACACACTTTAACTCTGTGTGTGATTAATCAGCTTTGCCTGGCAGCTTCTGACCTTAGTGAGAGGAGTTTAGAGTAAGAAGGAATGAGGGATACACTTCACTGGCTATCAGTAATTACATTTTGTGTCTCTGATATGTCAGCATTATCTGGTGCCGATTAACAAGGCCACAGTGTTTGCAGCCTGGATGTTCAAAATAGCTGAACAAAATAATGACCCTTCACATTTTGGAGCAGAAGAGTCAGCAAACTACTTAATTGCAAACGGGCAAAGGGAAAAAAGCTCAGAGCGAAGACGGAAAGTCTTGAGTGTACAGTACCTCTGTGTTATTTCCGATCCACCAGATGTAGGTGACCGTTCCCACTTGGCTGGGCCACAGAACAGCAGTCAGGTTCACTTCCTTATTCCTCACCGCCACAAAGGGAGCTGAGAGATGGATGTACTCCAGCTGACCTACTCATACACACACACACACACACACATACATTACAGAGTGAACTCCATCCCAATGTACAAAAACAAGAAAGAAAAAAAAGGACAAAACTTTTTATTTAATTTTTTCAAATAAAAAGGTGGGTTTATAGTTGGGTGGGGAGGCTGAATTCTGTCCCTTATAGGGACCGTTGGCTGCCATATGTGTGTTATCTTTCATTGATGGCACTCTTGAGCCTAAGGTGGCTCTATTTGTTCAGCTGGCACATAGGATTGACAGATTGGACGGGGCGACGGCGCTCCCGGATCAATAAGTCAGCTCCGTTACATCTGTCACCTCCCTGAATACACCAGGGGTGGTCAGCCCCGCTACATACGAGTCTGCAGTGGCTTCCGTGGGCTGAGCGGCTGTGAAGCATAAGCTGACTTGAGTGGAAGTGTAATGGGATTTGTTCTATCTCACTTGTTTGTGTGGGTATGGGAGGGGAGCATGTTCTGTGAAGAGATAAAGCACAGAATGCGGTACACTGTGTACGAGCTGACAGTCGCAATTCTACTGAATGCGATAAAAAAATAAGTAGAAGGCAGAAAGAGCCACAGCATGAGCGCAAAAATTGGAGATTCTCCTATCTCAATAACTACATATGCACATTTATAATACAAATCTTAGAAAACTCCTCGGTATCTCACATGTTACGTGCAGGTAGAGCATGACAGTCTCTGAGCCGAGGATGTTCTCCCCGGTGGCAGTCACCCGGTAGATTCCCACAGCTTTGTAGATGTGTTTGATCCCGTCCTCAATGGAGCTCACATTGGAGTAGGTCAGAGCGTGGCCGTCTCCGAAGTCCAGCGTGATGCTTGTCCGCGCCCCGTCGCCCTGCACGGGACAAACACTGTCAGGGAATCTGCCCACAGAGTCACTCAGGTTCCGAGTGTATCGCACTTTAGACAGATCGGTCAAAACTGGTGTTTACAGTCACAAACCTTTCATTCATGTTACTATATTTTACTGTCTCTTAAGTACAACGGATGTGGGTGGGTTTCTAGCAATATTGCTGAATTACTGCTCCCTGTGAGCCAGAGTGCGTCCTTATAATTGGGTTGAACCTCCTTCTTGTAAATCCATTTTCGGGCAGGGTCATGCCTTCGGCATAGTAGGATTCATAATTTATACAGGACGTTCCAAAGAGTCTCATTGTGATACTGCTTTAAAAAAGTCGCAGGTATTATGGAAACGCTTCACAAATACAAAACCTTTCATGAATTAAAATAATAATAGAATTCAAAGAGAGTTGGAGCTGTCCTGTCAAAATGTGTTAAAGACCTCTCTTTCATAATAGCGGTCTATGGGGGGGACGCTCTATGGGCCACAGGAGATTGTTTCTTTGCCATACTACGAGTGGCCCCTGGGACGTATTAGCAGCAAGAGTGAGTGGTGGCCCCGTATCCTGCTCTCTTAATACATCCATGGTCAGTGGTGCAAGAAGAGCACATATTTATCAGCTCAGATTTACATTTAAAAATGCATTACCCATAAAACACCTAGCACAAAAGAGGTTCAGACAACTTTATGGAACATAACATTTGTCAAAAGGCAACATTATATGAAAAATTGTAAAGTGCCTCTGGTGTTAGAATGTGTTGCTTGGATGAGACAGTCTAATAATAGGGAATACTGCATTCTAAAATATTTACTTAAACTGCTTAATGTTGGTTCATGTAGAAAATACTGATAATTCAGACTGTAAACTCATGTTTACATTGTGAATATAATAACATTTACTTGGCAGCTTACCTCCTCCAGAAAGACAAGGAAGGTGACGTTGGTGCCCAGTGTGGCTGTCAGCGTTCCCTCTCTGGTGACCAAGTGGAGACCTTTGGGTGCTTGGATAGGACACTGCTGCCTCCTGGCTGTGTACTCCACACTGACTCCAGCTGTACAGTTATTCGAGACCACTTTCCTGTAGCTGGAGGAGGAAAAACACAGGAAGCTTTTAGGTGCAATGCTGAATTTTAATTTAAAATATTATCAACAGAATGTGCAGAGGTTACAGTGTTATGCCGAAAGATTTCTATATCGTGTCTCAGATGATGTCTTATGCAAGACGTGTCAATTCAAGCTCATTACATTCATACAGTCTTTTTTTCAAAATAAACTTCCGTCTTCACAGGTAACTCAGTTTCATTTAGGCAACAAAACTACTTAGTTAGATTTAGAGAAAGATCGTTATTTGGTGTTGAAATGTCTACTGAAGTATAAACGTTACGTGACGAACAAATCAACATTGACTTCTCGCTGCATACAGGGAACAAACAGCGGTCTGTCTCCTGGCTGTTTGTTTGACCCATCCACCTCCAGTCCCTCCCACCCTGTGTGTGCTTTAGCTGTCCTTAGACTTTTGTGGGATATCTATGAATTACAACGCATTATTTGTTCCGTAGGTATTGCTATGAATGCTGAATGAGACCAGCGTGACTAAAATGAACCAAGAATTTTCAAATGAATTCTGTTGAAATGAAGAGCTCTGGGGCGTTCATGGGTTTCATGAGCAGGTGGAGTCTGCACAGTTGTATTTTTTTAATCTACTGTAGATGTTCAAATGCCACATTCTCTCTGAGCACTTTAAGGACTTCTTGACCATGTTGGCTGAAGAATTTAAATTACCAAAAGCTCCTGAACATTGACTTTGAGGTGAGTTTGTTTTGTCAGAGAGTTCAATCTAGGAAAACCATACGTTGCACATTCTTACACTGAACAGGATGCATACTCTTTCATTCAGAGCTTTTTCAAACATGCCTAACAAACAATACTTAAACCACTGGTAGTGATGTGATCTACTGTGGGTGATGTGATATGATCTTCAGCCTGTCCTTGTCGTTGTTGAAGAAACTAATGAATGTACCCAGAGCTATTCAAATCAATTGCATTTTACCCAAAGCCTGTGAGTCACTCTGGAGAATATGTGTGCTGATTGTAGTCTGCACTCGTCTTGTGCTTACCCGGTGCTGTTAAGGAAAGTCATCCCTGTGGTGCAACTCCTGGACATCGTTGATGGATGGAACCAAAAGGCGGGGGTGCACTTGCCGTTGGTTCGTCTCTCGTAGCCATAATCACTGTAATGATCAGAGCAGACAAAAACAGAAAAAGTTATCCAATCGGAAAGCACGGAGGAAGCACTGAAAGACAAGACAGATGCCAAATATTCCTGAGGCTGTTTGGAAAAGTCAATTCTAAAATGAGAAACACTATTTCGAGTGCAGCACGTACTTTTAAAATGACCAATAATTCTGACAGACAAATCAATCAAAAGATAATAAAAAATATTCCAAGCTGAAAAAGATCCGAACGCTTTGTATTTCTGACATATTGGATATTGTTATTCTGATACAGAATTGTGGGGATAAAAGACATGTAAAATGAATGTCATTTTATCATCATAGAAGTTATAGCGACTATTTTGTGCATCTATAACGGTGCTTTCGAAACACAGCTCACACGTTGTTTTGTCCCACAAATTATATCAGGCAGAGCAGCGCTGTGTCCCCAAAATGATAGGGACAAATTGCCCCAATTAATGCAACATGCACACAGATGCAAAAGTGTTGTCATTGTTAATGAAAGCGATTAGGCTTGGTGATTTATAGTTTTATGGTGCTTATTCCAAGAGCTGCCTTACTCGAGAGACCTGCAGATTTGGGTCCAAAGCAAGAAGAAAAGCAACATTAATACTGCTGATGACTCAAAGAAAGCAGGTTAAAAAATGTATTCTCCGTAACTGCACTTGTAAAAGAAAGAGTCACTGGCAGCAGCTACCAAATCATCAGTGAATTATCATTTGTATTCAGGTGAAATCAATGACCAGTTTCTGTTAATGAATAAACAAACTAATGTATTCATTACACTGTTTGTTCTCTCTAGGTGTCAACGTGCGTGAGGAATGATGGCTTTAAACTGCTCACAGGTCTCACAGTAGGATTTGTATAGAGACGTGAGATTAGATAATCTATATTAAGTGTGTGAATTAGTTTTTTTTTAATCGACACACTTCTCAGATTTAGACATTTCTTACAGATCAGATTTACGACTAACTACTGTAAAAGTACAATTGAACACCACTCAAAGTTGCAGTTCCACAACAATGGCAGTGCACATTAAAACAATCAACTAAACTTTATCTTATTAAATTAATACATACTCGTATAAAGTAAAAGCTTTTCTGAATGTAAATTAATGTCAAAATCTGACGCTATATTATTAGGTAACTGGTCACAGTAAACAATGTCTTCATTTGATCTTCTCTGCACAATGAGGAGGCTGCACAGCTTAGAGTTCTATTGTGCCAAAGAACCATCAATGTGTCGCGGTCAGCCATGGCTTTTGTTTACGTTTGGCGTCCTGCACTTGGAACGCTTGGAGGTTCAGAAGCTGAAAATTACAACAGGGAAAAATCCTGACCTCCGAGTTGTCTGGAATGCAGCATGAGGTTTTACTTTACAACTTTAGTAGGAATCTAGGGGCTCAATGTTCGGTGCCACAGACAGGAGCTGCTGGTGAGAGAACCCCAAGAAAGTCTGAGTTTAATCTTCACAAAGCCATTCTGCTTCCTCTTTGTTTGAAGTTTTAATGGTAGCAGCATTCCAAAGTTTTATTTATAGACAGCGACTGTAAAGATAGGGGCTCACAAGAGACGGACTAAAAAAAGAACGGTAAAAATGGAGGAATCTGAGGCCAAGATACCCTGACCATTCCCCAACAGTACAGAGGGAATGCAAATGAAACTGAATATGGGATGGAAAAAAATTAAAGTATACTCACCATTCAAAGTCAGCCTCTGTACAATCACAGGGGCCCGACGTCATTGACACGGAGTACGTCTTTCCCATAACGCACCTGGACGTGGGCTTCAGCTTCTGGTAGATTCTTTTCACCCCCATGAGGCACGGCTCGCCCTGTGGGCCCGATTTCAGGAGCAAACCAGAAGGATAGAGTTTCAAAAAATGAGCTGCTTTTGCAACTTGCCACTATTAATAATTCACACGATGCAACCAAGCATGTGTGTGAAAGGCACCGTTGCCTTGCATTCCCGTTCAGTGAATATTTACGGCCTTGTGCTGTGTGGTGTTCTAAACTCAACAACTGTTCCTGCGTCGCGAGTGTCACTCTGGAGATTGTGCCGCTTGAGTTCTTTTTTAGAGATTTATTTTGTTTTTGGTGACATTGAGATGAACGAATAAGAAAAGCTGCCAGCACCCAATCCATTTTTAACCTAAAATCGATGCGTACAAAGTGAATATAAAATCAGCTGGATTACAAACAAGATGGGAAGAAGAGACCAGACTGTTTCCTCCATGCTACACTACTGCTCTGTTTTCATGGCCAGAACATTCTGTCTTTGTGCATTAGGTGTCAGTAGTGAGATGCTTAAGAGACCTGGCCGTATCCACGAATAGACTACCAGCTCCTGCAAATGTCCTCAACTTACCCAGTGGTCTTTAATAAACGCAAGCAATGTCCTCTGTTTTCAGGTGGTGTTTAGTTTATTCATGCAGCCTGCAGGACCTGCAGTACCTCTACATATAGGCAGGTTCCGCCTGTAATTTGCTTGGACTCTTCTCATCTTCCATGCTATATGTTTTGATCATCAGCCTGCTCTGAGCATATGGGTGTCTCAACCAATTACATAACGGGGCCATGAATAAAGGCTCGCTGGCTCAGCGTCAGCCCCAGCCAGGTTGAGGAGTTTTGGGGCAGGTTTAATGTATGCAGGGAGCTAAGAGTCGCTTCACTCAGAGCATCAGCAGATAAGGCTGCAAAATCTGCACAAGTGCTCTGGGAACCGAGAAACGTCCAGGTTTAGTCCACTCACTATGCTGGCAGGATAAAGCAGCCAGTGATCACACATTACCCTGAGGCTGCAGCCTGGATGTCCAGCTCAATCTAACGCCTGTATCAACCCAACCTTAAGAGGCAGAGAAGACTTTAGATGATTTCATTTTCCATGAAGGGATCGATACGTTATTTTGGAATAATAAACATTAAGTCCACACTTTAATCCTCTTTAAGGATTTGTAATTGAAGTGCATTTATACGCTAAGACTGCTGACATTAGACACATAGACTGTGTCTGAAATCAATCCCTTTATGTTACCTCGAGCACTATTTAATTTTCACAGTGTCAGGATTCTATGTGGACAATATAGAACCCTCAAAAACTCCCATGCAGAGCACAACGCTTTTGCTGTTGGTGTGGTTCAACACACTTAATCCCAACTCCTCAATTACTGGTATTTGGTCACTACCCCTTGGTATCGCAGATTGACGCACCAAGTACCCCTCTAGCGTTGATTTTGGTTCGGGGCAGCGTGTCAATATACTCTCGTTAGATGAATGGTGTCCTTTCAAAATAAAAATACATTTTCACAGAAAGTAGGGTTTCAGCAACACAACCACTTGAGTTGAGGAAACGATCACAGTTGACCTTAATTTCACTGATTAACGACTCTCGTGACCACCAAGTGACAAATCAGGTGACTCACAGGACCAACGATCATAACGAGTCACACGACTAATTACTGACGTTACTGACAAAAATAAACGTGTAATACGTTTTACACGAGACACGAACAGTGGTCCCCCATTTTAAAGTCCCGTGTTTGTTTGTTTTTTTCCGGTCTTTGTATGTCATCAAACCAAGCAGCATGACAAAGCGCCAGTATGTGACGCCCTAGGAATAAGAACAGCTGGCTTTGCTCAGTGTGGGGCTTCTAACATTGTAGTAGCACAAGAATAGTCATTGTTCCTTGATGTCACTGAATAGATATGAATAGGTCTTTTCTGTCTTTTTATGTAACAAAACACAAAGCTAGACGTAGTGTCTTTCTAACTCTGTAGAGAGATAAGATTAAGAAATGGGTTACTACTGAGGTTCTATTACCTTGAAACAATCCTTTCATAGATATATCTCTTCAGTGGTCCAATAATAAAGGTGATATTTGTACGTGTGCTGACTAGCGCCTATGCATTTAATTAGACCTCCATCACTTAATTAAGAATGGTGTGTGTTAATTGCAGTAGTTGTGTGCTATAATGAATTTACTAAGTGTGAATAGGGAACCTGTGTGGGTTAGTAAGTGTCAAACTACTAGTGAATTAGTTATGAGCAAGAGTGCACTTTAGAATGGGGAATATATTCTTGAGTTAGGAACACTTGACATCCTTACTTCTTATCAATAAACAGTAATTAGGATGGTTATTGAGGGAAAATGTAGTTAATGGCCTAGTGGTTGTAGAGTATGCATGCAGAAAAAGGCATTCATAAAGACTTTATATTTAAAAGAGCCAATGTGCTACTAATGTGCATAATAAGGCAGCTGGTAATATGTTCACATTCACATTAAGATGGGTTGTATAAACGGACGGATGAACATACATGGACAACCACAAAACATAGTTTTATATATATATATATATAGTGATAAACAAGTCTGTGCTGGCATGTACTGTACCTGGTTGTGTAGGTGCCACGTCTGATAATCCGCCTCTGTACACCTCCTGTTGAAGATGGACCTGAAGTCGATTTTCACCAGCTGCCACTCCGAGCGATGACTGACATGGCCGAATATCCTGGAGAATAGCCATGTACGCTTGTTATACACAAAACATGCTGCAGATATGCACCAACTAAATATATATAGATTAGGCTGGGTACATTCCAGGTTTTTCTTATTCTTAACAAATGCTACAAGAAAGCAGACCGCAGTGAGCCACAGTGTTGTACTGACTGGCACGTTCCTTCACCACCATGAACACACACGCTGTAGTTTATATAAGTGGATCCCACATACACACTCCTGCAGCCATGAATACTCACTAGAGCACAACATGTCCGTTGAACCACTGCTAAAAATAGACCCCAACAAATGCACTACAACAAGTTCTTTACTCCCAGTGGTGGACTATAACTTAGAATAACTAAGGCTGTAAACAGTGCTGCCTGTGTGACGTCACACAGTCGGCAGTTGGCTTTTTCAAAGTTTCATCTTCTGCAGTCATCGCTCTTTGCAACGTTTACTCACAACACTAGCGGAAACCAGAAAAAAAAGACTTGCTTTGCAAGTGAGTTGAATAGCGAGTCTGGCGCATTAGCTCCCGCATACCATCATGCAATTTTCACCAAAAAAATATGAAGTCTTTTCAAAGCTTTCCACACTTCAGGTTACTCCTGTTGGGTTAATCCAGCTGCTTTGGGAAATAGCTGAGCCTTTTTAGATGAAAAACTCAATCAGCTGAGGAAGACCGTAAATTGGAGACAGATGAAGGTTTTTAAGGATTGACATCTCTTTGGGATCGGGGTGAGTGCTACAGAGAGGGTATAGCTGGAGAGATGGACCGAGGGCTGGGTTATGCTAGAGAAGAATTAATTTGTATGACTTGTTGCCTTAACTCAGAAGTTGTAGGATGCAGCCCACCTACCCCCATCCTTCCACCAGACCGGTATTGGGGGAGGTTGTTTTTTTTAATCTGACAAGGAATTAATGGTTCAATGAGCGTACTGCAACTGAACACATTGTTGGTTTTGGACTTAACATGGGATTTGTTAACAGTACATTTATATACAAAAGTGACAGCCTTCCCCTTAAAGTCACAAACTGGAATATAAGGCCCGATCTGGCATCTTGACACCTTCCTTTTCTTTTTCGTATAGCAAGTTTGAACTGATGTTGTTTTTCTTGTGAAAGCTTAATCATAATAAATATCCACATATTCAATAGTCAAAAACAAAACAGAATCCAAGTTTATGAGACTAAATAAGATAAATATTCCATCTCCTGCTAAATTGAGTGGGTGTGTTTTCCTGCACTGACCCCTCTCACCATTCATACCCCAACATATTTATCACAATCAATACGTCAATTAGCTCTCGAGGCACCCGACCATGACAGGCACTTACTGTAAAAATGAGTACAAATTGATAAGAAAACAGTGCATGATGGTCTTTTGAAAACTAATGGTGTGTCTGCAGCTGAGAGGCTCCGTGCTGGAGGAACTTGTTCTCAGTGCCAACCTGCCAGCATCGTCTTTACACTGCCGCTTTTCCCGGGTCTCTATTTTGTTCTTGTCGAGACTATCGGCGGGCATTTTCCTATTCTCTCCCTCCCTCTCCGTCTCTCCAGCTGCGCCCTATCACTCTCCTGTAGAGCTGACTGCAGAGCCGACTGTCAGTCTCTCATGTATGGCAGGTGGCTTGAAACATTGATGTAATGGCTGCGCAAACCCTTTTGTGACACATCCCAAAGTCCTAAATCTCTGCTGCAATGTGGGAGTAGTGCTGTGCATACCACATGCACGCACTCCAGCTCTGGGCTATTCTACTGATAAATGTGAAAGAACACAGAAGGAATCTTCATGGTTCTGGTTTCTGAGGACACACTGAATGCTTAAAGGCTGCTAACTGCTCTTCCCACTTCTTAATGCTGTTAAAACTTCAGACCAAAGTTTCTTGTCGGTTTTCTCAGGCATTTTGTGATCATTTTCCTTCATGTTCTTCAAAATGGACAGTCACGCCGTCGCCGGCTCCCAAAGCATTGATCTCCTGTGATCATAATCTGGAGACAGACAGTTTTGATGTTGGGAAGACCTTGAGAGAAATCTTATTTATTCATGAAAAGGAAAACAGGCAGTCAGGAATCCTTAATCGAGCCGGCTTAGATATAGATGCATGGCAGATGAGAGCACACACAGACACACACACACACACACACACACACACTATTTGTTGTTGCTTTGATTGCTAGATTACCACGTTGACAAATCTCTGTCACTCACGTCATGATGAGAGTCTCCTCCCCAGGCTCTCCCAGCACCCCGTCCACGAACAGAGGCGTGTTGGTGAAGCTGTACTTGTTCCACTGGCGTCCTTCATCAAAGCTCAACCTGGGAACGCAAACAGACACTGCACAAGGCACCGACGCTGACCCAGCCCCCCGACTGCGAGCACAAGCTAATGACCCAGAGAGTAGCCTAACAACTTGATTTCATATACTGAGGCGCTCTGCTCACCGATCAGCCCAACTAGACTCATTATGGCTTCAAACACAGAAATGTGAAATTGAACAACATTTGCAAAAGCAGATTTCTCCATGACTGATGGGTTTATAACTACAATATGATCATCCCCCAGTTTGCCTTTGTTTGACTAACTTAAGACTCGGAGCTTCCTCTGAGGGAATTAGTCATGTTCTGACAAATGGCGTCTCCATCATAATGACTCACCACAGGTGTCGGATGGGAAGCGGAGTGTGCCTTATTGCGACTAAGGCTCCTCCTTGGTCGAGATACAACAGTGCATACTCCTCGTCAAAGATCTGCAGGGACAGAGAAGAGAGTGCTCACTCTGCAGTGGCTTGTTTTTCCGTGTATGTGTCCGACACCACCCATACTGAATAATTTGAGTAAACCAAGTAATAATACACCAAACAAACACCGTATACATCATTGTTAGAACTTCCTACATCAGCCTACACATTTTCATTGCCGTGTTTGATTAGAAACAAGCCACAAAAATTGGGTAGGTAGGTAAGGGGCACCCATGGGCACTGGAGGCAGGGACTGCATCATAGAACTCTTGAAATTTAGAATTTAGACCTTAAAAAGCTCTGGCTAGTGGATGCGGATTAAAAGGCTATATGATCAAATGAGGGAGAGTGAGTGAGGAGGAGGATATTTTTAGTGATAGCAGGTCAGTCAGTTCATGGTGCTCCATATGGTGAGTGGCTGTGATTCAATTGAGCACATCATTGGAAAAAATATTATAAGGTGCAAGTCTGTATTATTAATAACTAGTGCTGGGCAACGATTACAATATTTAATCGCGATTAATCGCATTGTTATGGCAAAGTTCAATAATGAATTCAAAAGTAGTGTATTGCGCATTTTTATTTTAAAAGTACTGCTATATGAACAAAAGGGCAATAACATTTGTTTCACGAGATGCAGGTAGCATGTTTTATACTTAATGTGAATATATCCTCTTGTTGTTATGTATATGTATTGTCTCTTGTCTTTCAATTAAAAATAAAAAATAAAAAATAAAAAATTATAATAAATTTAAAAAATGCGTTAACGCGCGATAAAATAATTGTCGGTGTTAATTAATGAATGCATTAATGCGAAATTAACACGTTAACTTGCCCAGCACTATTAATAACATAACATATTTGCTGTACATGTTTGTATATTAGCTGGAAGCTGATCTCAGCCAACAACATTGTCTTGACAATAAAGTCAAATTAAAATAAAAAAGTAATCACTGCTGAGAAATGAGTTATGTAAAAACACTGTAGCTGATGGGTAGCTGGGGTTAGAGACATTGGAGAAACCAGCAAGAGTTCACTAGATTTTGAAAGCCCCCACCCAAAAAAAAACAGTGCAGTGTTGTCAACTCTTCTCCAATTAAAAGTAGCTGCAACACTGACAGCCCGTACCTTCAGGCCTCCCTCTAAAGCCACTCCCCCCAAATTATCATTATGCACGTAAACAACAAACACGGTCGTTTTTATTACGCACAGCTGTTAAGATAGCAGCTAGTGGAAGACAGCGGTGACGAGCAATGAGATCATTTGTGCGGAATGAAATGATTGGATGGGCTTGTCCTGTGACATCCCAACACGGTCTCACTCGTCAAAAAAACATCAGTTGGTCAGTACCCCTTGGCATCTGATTCAGATGCACCGGGCTTTCAACAAACTCCAATCTTGATGTTTGCCTAAACCCAACTTCCTGTAAAGACTGAAGTTTATTTTGAAAAGACTCTATTCATGTCTCTGACGCTAGAGGTGAACGTAGAGCGTCATAGTCTGAAGTGTAGGGCAACTCACCAAGTGTTGGTATTTGACAGGCTGGGAGTGAGAATGTGTTTGACATCCACAGATAGGTTTTTTTTTTGTTTTTTTGTCAGAACATTTGATCCATTAATTGCTGTCGAAATGTAAAGAAGATTTCAACAAATGGAAAAAGAAGGTTTCTAAAATGCATTACCTACCCTCGCTTTAACAGTTGGTATCTAATAATAAATGGGTTTATTGAAAATGGCAGAATATGGCAGTACAGTCCGTATTATTACAATAAAAAAAGCACCCTCACCTGTCTCCATGTGTTTCCTGCATCCGAGGCGACGAACACACTGACATTACTGGTGGACAGCTCTGAGCCGATGGAGCCTGGAGGTGAGGCGGCAGACAGGCAGAGGACAAACTACAGTAAGTGGTTGAGTTGTTTATGATATAACGCAGACACAGGAAATGAATTCCATTTGAGATCAAATGAATCCCAAATTGTATAAAGAGCCTTCAGACCAGCAGTGGTAATACAGCAGGGGGCTCCAGCCTGCAGCTGCAGACTGGGGCTGTAATTACAGGGCTCCAGAAGATCAACTGTGCAGTGCGACATTTGCCCACACCCCTAAATTAACCAATAAATCCAGATTACTGTATTCGTCTTTCAGCATATTACGACAAGCTTTCCTAATGCTGCGCAGACTGCTGTAATTGCTTTAATTTATCCTGTAATTGGTGCCAGGTGGTTAAACGTAAGGCTGGAAAGTACTGTAAGTGTTTCAGAGGCATGGCTGTCCCCTTGAAATAATTAGCTTTACAATCCCTACATTTAGAGAATAACCTAACACCAGCTGAAAATCTCCATTTTGCTGACCTCTAGTGTATGATGTTCTCACTTCAATGTGGTGATGAAGAGGTTTAGTGTGTATGTGCAACCCACCACAAGTGAGTGATGTGCAGGTTGGTGTTAAGTTACTCTATAAAGACAAACTGAAGAAGTGTATTAGCTTGAACATAGCCCCTTCACATATTTACAAGACGACAATTCTCGCCTTGTGGTTGCATGCCTCCGCCAACCAGGCATGTTGCAGTTTACATCCAAGTTCGTCCAATATGTCGTGCCTTCATCCTTCTTTTATATTACACATTTGTGTGAAATTGTCATAATTAACATATGAATTCCCGAGTTATATCCAGTGACCTTTGAAGACCGAAATGTAATCACTTCATCCTTCAGTCCAGCTGGACATTTGTGCTCGTTCCCTCCAGATGCCCCTCAGATATCGGGAAGGGACGGACGGTCGGACAGATGACAGACAGACAAACGAAAAACATAATGCCTTAAAATGCATTCAAACACAGAGACTCAGCTGGGTCAGATCGATTTAATCCGGGCTCCTACTGTCTGCATGTCTGAGCGAGACACTGAATGCTGAGATGAAAGTTGCTCTCTGGGTGCTTCACAGCAGCCCACTGCTCCTGATGCTGAGGATGGCTTTAAAAGCAGAGGTCACGTTTCATGTATGTACCAGCATGTGTGTGATGACTGTAATAAAGTCTAAGATAAAGCTGTCGCAGTGGGCTAGAACTGTCAGTCATGATCATTCACTGTATTATATAAAAAAACTACAACCTATCCAGGCTCACATCAGACCATACACCCCTCGACTGAGCAGGGCTGACTCACATTAACACTCACATTCACACATTGTGAAAATTTGGAGTCCTCAAACCCAAAAAGTGTGTGCAATCAAAATGTCAGCTACAATCACCCCTTTCATAGAAAAACTGCATGGGGCCACTTCACAACAGGATTGAACGGCTGCCCGCTTCACCTGCTGCAGTAGGACAAAAAGAAGGTGTGTAATCCTCAAAGCGCCCGCAGAGGGTGCAATGCTCCCCATGTGCTGGGAAGCACCTTTGCTATTTGCTCGTCTTGTCAGTAGGTGGTAAATTAAGCACATAAAAACATGCAATTTTTTTTACAGTCTGAAGGTGTGCGCTCGAAAACAGCAAGATCTCAGACAGACGATAATACTGAATCCTAAATACGGTTTGTTTCGTTTAAATGATTTTCCCACCTCGGTCAGGACCTGCAGCTCGCTGTCTGAACATTTCATTTTTCTTTTTCCCTCTGCCATTGTTCTGCCTGCTGTGTTCTTGGCGCTAAGGCAACATGTATGCTTTGCCACATGGATAACTGCAATCTCAATTAGTAAATTCTCAGCTGATCTTTATTGACGTGTTTGAGCCGTGCTATCATAAGCGCAAAATCTTTTGTGAATCAGACGTTGAGATGGGACGGATAGCGGTTGCAAATGATGTGCAATTCGTAGTGCTACCAGCTATGACTTCTGACCTTGGTGAGTCAAGTTATATAATAAGCGATGGAAATTATGGTGAAAACTACCACAATTAGGCCCAGAATGTCAAAGTTTTTCTTCGTCGGCAACTCAAGTCAAAGCCACAATAAGACTGAGATGTGTTGGTTATCTTACAAGGTAATTATACCAGATTACCTCTCGCTTCTTTTGTTTTGGCCATTTCGTAGCTTGAATAATGGCAGAGCTCAAACTAAATCAGTCGATTGTTTTATTCACACATCCCTGAAACCTGTTTAATTCACAATGTTTCACTGAGGCCCAGACACCCGAGGCGTGTGCTGATGTGTTATTGACAGTGCTGGTCCATGCAGGAGTAAATATCACTGAGGTGTGAATTCACCAGAGGGGGCTGCTGATCTCATATTCCTCCGTTTCTTTGTTTTCTCTCCACTGAGTATTTGCTTCCTCACCACCTGCGTTCTCCAGAACAACAAGAGAGCATCGTTGTTCCCAAGGGCTAAAACAGGAGGATTATATGGTTTTTTGTTCTGTCATTTGCCCCTTTTCAAAGGTGAGGCGACACATGCATGTTGTCAGATGCCTGTGGGAGTTGTGTTCTGATGCTGAACAGCGACAAACTATTGGAAACAAAAGTAAAGAGCAAAAACCTGTACACAGACAAATGTAATTGCATAGAAGAATGCAGCATTTATGGCTACAGTGCTATATCGGCAACATCACGGCAGTGAAATGTTCAGAGCAGAGAGTTGAGCTGAATAAACCTTAAGCAAACTGACAATACACCATTTTAACAGGATGCATTCTCTTGACATTCGTTTGGAGTTTGACTTTCTTCAGCATATGCACATTCATTTATAATAGTTAATGCAAGTCTGTTTTAATTCAGTGCCTCAGAGACCAACAGGTTAGCTGGTGATCCCGGCAATATTACTGTCTTTAAGAGGCTGTAGCGGGCTCGGTTTTAAAGCTATTGACTATTTTTTTTAAATCTTGACCTAACTGTATAAAATGACCTGTTGTGACCAGTAGGATAATCACAGCCTCGTGACATTTTACAGCTACTAACACCAGACCGAGGGCATTCAGAGGATGTATGGCTTCCATAAGTATATTGACAAGGTGGGGGTTTCTGGGCCGTTTCCACAACATAAGTGCTCGCCATCTAATTGCCGAAAAATGCAATTGTTGCAGAAATCTCCAAATGTCAAAAGTTTTAGATTCCAAATCACAGCATGGATTTACAAATCATGGGAATGGACATCATAAGCCCATTCAGGCTCCCAGCTTTCTGATGATGTACACCAGGGGTCCCCAAATTTTTCCTGTGAGGGCCACATAACTTTTCCCTTCTCTGATGGGGGCCGGGGTCAGTTTGTAACAGAAAAAGTGTGACGATCGCAGGGGTGCCTAAATGTAAACATTTATTGTTTTCCAGAAAGCCACACATAACCAAATATTAATAACCCTTTCCGGGATCTTCACAGAAAAAAGTCAGGAAATAAATAACACTATTTGTGAAATAAATAATAACCAAATAACCCTCTCTGGGTTCTTCACAGAAAAAATAAAGTCGGGAAATATATAATAACACTATTTATGAAATAAATAATAACCAAATAACCCTCTCTGGGTTCTTCACAGAAAAAAAGTCCATTGAACATTAACTTTCTGTTGTGCCGTGCACAATCTTAACAGGTAAAAGTTTAGCTTAGTTGTCAGAGCAGAATCTCTTACTCAAATGACTCATATGAGCAGTCTCTCAAAGTTCTTGTGTTCCTTCCTTATAATCCTTTTGTAGGTTCCAGTAGGCTTGTAGACACCGCTGTTTGCAGCTCTCTCTCATCAACTTCCCTGTGAAAACCACAAAGCAAGCAGGCTGAGAAACCGAACTAAGTGGTACAGCACCTACACAGCACAATACATTTCACTACCAGTATGGTTGTGGAGATGGATTTTATCCCAGTAGATGTTATTATGATTAAATTTGTTTATACTCAGAATGACTCATTCAAGTCAGAAAAGTGAGCTTACCTATGTATGTTCATCAGTGTGAACTGTGGGCCTGCATCTGGCTGGTGAGAAGTTGAATGTCAGGTTCCATTCTAGTCACAGCCAGTCTCAAACACTGATGCAGATGTTCATCTGTCAATCTTGATCTCATCGGAGTTTTCAGGTGTTTCATGTGTGAAAAGGTTTGCTCGCAGATATACATGCTGCCAAAAAGTGTAAACATCTTCATTGCGTGTTTTTTTATGTTAGGGTACATATCGTTTCGGAGGGCGGCATAGAAGTCAATGAGACTGTTGGGCTTGAATGCGTCTTTCAGAACATCACAGATCTGTAACTCGGCCAACTCAAACTGATAAGAAGGCTGGGCTTCATCGATGTCGGCAAGAAAGGGGTTCTGGAAAAGACAGATTTCTTTTGCATTAACATGTAGTTGCTGGAATCGCACACCGAACTCCGCCTTCAACATTTCCAGTGCTTCCACACACTTTTCAGCTGGGAACGGGACCGCTGGGTTCTCTGCAGAGAGGTTTTGGGTAGCAGGGAGATGGATGAAGTTGTGATTTTTCACTTGTTCCAAAAGCAGCGCAAGTTTCACCTCAAATGCTTTTATGTGAGAATACATGTCGCAAATGAGTTTCCCCTGGCCTTGTAGCTGCAAGTTAAGGCTGTTCAGCAGTCTGTTAAAAATGCGAGGTACCATTTCCATTCTGGGTCGATCAGCTCTGGGACCGTTTTATCTTTTGAATGAAGAAATGCGTTAATTTCGGGTAGCAGCTCGTAAAAACGCCTCAAAACTCTGCCCCGGCTCAACCAACGGACCTCTATGTAGTACAGCACATCGCCGTGCGCAGACTCCAGTTCAGACAGGAATTGTTGGAACTGCCTGTGTTTCAGTCCCTTTGCTCTGATGAAGTTTATGCATGACACCACAACCTTCATGACAGAATCCCACTTCAACACTTTGCAGCACAGTGCTTGCTGGTGAATTAGGCAGTGGAATTGTATCGGGGCGGTGAGACCCCGTTTTTCCATCTCCCGGTTCATGCGTCCTATTAGACCACGAGACGCGCCCACCATACTAGGAGCCCCGTCAGTCGTGATGCTGGCAAGCTTTGACCAGTCTAGGTCCAACTCTTCCATGGTTTGGCATACTTTGCCGAAAATATCCTCCCCCGTTGTAGTCCCTTTGAGACTTTGGAGGGCTGCCAGCTCCTCGCACATCTCAAAGTTTGCGCTAACTCCACGAATAAAAATGAGCAGCTGCGCTGTGTCTTGCATGTCCGTGCTCTCATCCAGTGCTAATGGAAAAAAGTCAAATTCTTTCGTCTTCTGCTGCAGCTGGGCATATACATTACCCCCGATTTCTTCAATGCGTCTGGTGATTGTACTCGCCGACAGACTCACGGCATTAAATACATCTTTCTTCTCGGGACACAACTCTTCCGCGACAGCATTCAAACATTTCTTGACAAACTCTCCATCAGTGAAAGGTTTACCGCTGCTTGCTATCAGTTGAGCAACCCGAAAGCTGGCCCGAACGGATGACTGGTTCAGCTGAGCTTGGCGTACAAATGTATTCTGCTGAGCTAACAGTCCACTTTTTAGCTTTGAGAGTTTCTCTGCTTGCAAGTTATCATATTTGTCTTTGTGACGGGATTCATAGTGTCGGCGAAGATTGTATTCTTTGAATACCGCCACCGCCTCTTGACAGATGAGACAAACAGCCTTTTCTTTGCATTGAACAAAAAGATAATCGTTTGACCACTGCAGGTTAAATACCCTGCATTCTGAATCAATTTTTCTCTTACCTAACCTTTTCGCCATTATTCCGTTCTATTTGACAGGGGCTAGTCTAGGATTTGCGTGGCCAGACTGAAAAAAAATCAGAATGCCTCTCTGGTATTGTTCAGGGGGCCGGGCCAAATGTGGAGGCGGGCCGTATCCGGCCTGCGGGCCTTAGTTTGGGGGCCACTGATGTACACCATTTCTATGTGGCGTATACTGTTGACCTGCTATCCCTCCCTAAAGATCCCATGCCCCCTCCTAAGAAAGACAAAGGGCTGAAAAGTATACAAACTGTGAGCACCTGGTAGAGGTGTCAAAGACAACAACAATTGAGAATATTATATAATTACTTTGTAATAAACAGAAAAAAGCTCAGAAAGGGTTTCAACGAGGGGTTTGTTTTTTTTAAGAAAAAAACCCTCTGAACTGAAAGGAGACCAAGAAAAGAGAAACATGTTACTCAAAAGAGATTCCCTCTCACCTACCTGATGCTACAATGATCCCCGGCGCTGTGTCCCTGCTGGCTATGTTTCCAGATGTGTAGGGATTCGCAGACACGTGGAGATGGAGATGTAATGAACAGTATGGCTGCAGAGAAGAAAATCACAAACTCAGTTATCAAAACTATTATACCAAAGACCTTCAAAAGACGCTTCTGGAAGAAAGGCTGTTGCATCGACGTGGATGCACAACCCTCCCAAGTCGCGAGTTTCATCACAAACACCATTTCCCCATTGGCTGGTTCCACCATTAATTTTGATTGGGTTAACCTTTACCGACACAATTCTCATTACGACCCAGCAAAATGCCAGTAGTGCAGGCCATGTTGTGACGGGCTGTTTGGAGGTTTATTAAAACTCTGACATTTCCTGACAAATGACTGTATAATGTGGATAGATGGCGAGGCATGCCACAGAATCCCTAATTGGTTTATCAAAATAAAAAAGGTGAGTACTTTTCATATCAAGTCATGTTACAAACCATCAAATCGACACGGTCATCTTCGTCTGGCTTCTTCTCATTCAGGTACACAGAATAGTGGGCGACTGTGGCTAAGTGGAGAGCGGGGCCGTCCTTCAATCAGAGGATTGGCGGTTCGATCCCCGGCTCTGGCTCCGCTAGTCGCATGTCGATGTGTCCTTGAGCAAGACATTTAGCTCCCGTAGCTGTGCCTACGGTGTGATAGGATCTGAATTGCTTTGGATAAATAAAAGCATCTGCTAAATGACTGTAATGTAGTATAGAAGAGGGAGATGGCAGTGGGTGGGCTTCACTGACAAAACACCACATCCGTAGTTAAAAAGATATGCAGTGAGAATCCTTACTCTGACTGTCCCGCCTTGGCCTTTGAGTGAAAGCTAGACTAGACTATGAGAAGCAACTTTCAAGGTCTTTCCGGAAGAACGAAACGTCTGCTTTTCTGTCTGACACCTCTTTGTCTTTGTTTTTTAAATGGGAGGTCAGCTTATTGGACTGAATCAAAATGGCTGACCTTTCGTCTCAGCAGCCTCAGAGCACTCAGCTTTGACGGGCGCTGCTCTTTCTGAGCTCGGCCTCTCATTGCTGCTGGGATCAGTCAACTCCTGTCAAGGCCTCTCTTTGATGGAAGCACACACACATACATAACCATGTATGAACGCAGCAGAACGCTTGTAGATACGAAGACACTCACTAGCACACAGTGAATGCTGTTGCCCCTCAGGTCTTTGCTGGGCGCCTGCAGTAAACTCCAGTCTCTGCCTCTGTTGTAGGTGATGTGCGTCTTCACTTGGTTCTCCGTCTTTCTGTTGGCGAGGAACATCCCCTTTATTCCCGCTACCTGGGGAATCAGAAAGAGAACAGCTCACAACTGCAAATGAAAACAGATGCACACGTCATACGCCCAAAATATTTTATTATTGTACTTCCATATATCCGAGTCTTGTTGCAGAAAATGTATGCAAAGACTGCAAAGCAAATCACATGCCCTGGGGCGTTGTAGCGAAGCACGCCTACCTCTTCTGTATTCCCAACAAAAACAAACATTGAGTGGAGAATGATTGACTGTCTGGGGACTTTTCAGTCATCAATGTGTGCCTTAAATTAATCTGACTCCTTGTTGGAAGCCCCTAGGAATCAGTGGCAGTCGCATCAGGCGATGAAAGTTCACTTTAGTAATTGACTGATACTTCAATCTCCCTTGGAGGAGAGATTTAGCATATCCTATATTTTGGGTGGCGACCCCAATCAAGACAGTAGATTTGATTATATCGCCGAGGCCACAGCAAGACACCTGCAGCATCATCAACAGCTTAATTATCTGATTCAGATATATAGTTTGTACAGATGTTTGGCTATGGCTTTAAATGTTGTACATGCATGCATACAAGAGCCTCAACATTAGCCCCTAGCACACTTCTTTTTCTTTTTGGATTAGGTGCATTTTGCAAAGTAATATCTGCAGTTATTCATCAAAGAAAGAAATAATCTCAGCCTCCAAAAAATCCATATCCCTGGCACAATCCCCTCTTGCCTTTGTTGATGTCAGCACTTTGAAGCTACTTCGTATTCACACAATGTGCTCTGAAGACTGTTGGCCTAGAGCAGTAGGGGCTGTTTCCAAAATGACAAAACATCATCTCTACCTCCTAGCTCTAAAATATTGATCAGTGTTCATAATAAACTTGTAGGCTGAGCTCTCATCAAGCAGGCCTTTATTTGATACCGTTACCTAAAAAAGAAAAAAATGGCCAAAATGAATACTGCAGACTTGGGGGTGGAGTGGGGTATGGGGTAGACCTCATGTACGGCATACCAATGGAAGACTGGAGCAGAGTCAACAAAAAAAGAAGTCCACTTGTCCACACCAGTCTATGCAGCCTATGCAGAGCCCCCCCCGAGGTCGAGTGGACTGACTCGAGTGAGAATCTTCAAGCTTCGGGCTGAAGAGTTTAGCTCTTGAATTCAAAAAATGATGTCGACATCATTCTGCAAAAAACGTGCATTCGTCAAGGCTCCGTCTTCAATATATATATATAAATAAATAGGCTACTGTAATAAACAAGTGCCCTATCCCCAAGGTATGTCTCCACAATCAGGAAGTCACTGCGGGACTAACAAAGGACTATCTTATCTCTTATCTGAAGTGAAAATCATGAATTTTGGGGACAATCTGATCCTGCTGCCCCCCACAGCAAAGCCTGGACCTGATGGAGCAGTACTGTCAGACCTGAGCCCCGACAGACCCCAAAAAGAATAAAATAATCTTTACCAAAATAGGATCAAAATTTTAGAATGTTCAACCAAAGAAAAAAAAAAGTGGAGAACTACACAGACTATAATAAACTAGGTTTAGAAATAAATTCAACGAGACACTTTAATGAGGCCCAGACCATGCTGGAGGGATTAAATATCTCATTTCTGGGTCCCCCAAGAAGAGCTGGATAATGTAGAGAGGGACATCTGGAATACCCTGCTTAGCCTGCTGCGGATAAGGAAGGAAGGATGGATGGAAGGATGGATGGATGTTTACCTCGTAGAGGTCGACCATGACGTTGCCCTCAGGGCCCATGCTGCTGACCACATTCTCCAGAGCCAGGGTGTAGTAGACCCCCGACGTGTCCGACACGTACAGGTTGTAGGTTTCATTCTGGTTCCACTCCTGTACCGCTGCAACCACTCGGTTTTCATCCGTACTTATCACATGCAGGTCCTGAAAGAGAGGCAAAGTTAACACCAGTATGATAGATAATAAATACATCAGTAGCAGTGATTGATATTTCTTGTTAATGTTCCCTTTGGTCCCGTTTTTGTTTTTAGGTGCAGGCTTCGTGACTTTTAGCTGCGACCAGCAGCTCCATAACTCACTCTGTTGATCCAAAAAATACCTCCAATTTTCGCCATAGGAGTCTGCAATTTGGCATATAGGTCAAGTGTGTGGGTACGGCTTGTAAATAATATCTCTCTTTTAAGTCTTGCCTCATTACACAATATATATCTTAATATTTTCATATTTTCTAAAAAAAAGATTTGAAAACAGAGGGGGTGTACTGACATTTAGAAGTTAGATTCCGAGTGTATTCTTTATTAAGTTCAACTAACTATTCACACAATTGAAGTTTTGAATTAGGATTTTCGGCTTCTCCTGAACTCAACATGTATAAAATTCTTGTATGTATATGTAAAAAACTTAGACTTAGGAGACTTCCAAATAAGCAGAATGCTTATTTGGAATGTATTATTTGTAAATAATTCACGATAGATTTTCTGTCGGGGGAACAAATTTTGGGGGAAACAAATTTTGTTTTTTTAATGTATTAATTTCTAAAATTAATAGAATAAATAAGCACTTAACCTGTTACCACTCCAGTAAAATTTGCCTAAAACACCTATCCAAGGCATACCCAAAGTAAATTGAAAGCTGTTCTTGAACCATTTGGAGTACATGCATGGTTTTGGTCTCTTTTGGAAGGTAACACTCTGATGTTTTTCACTGTAAGTGCTACTGGCATTGAGTAATAGAAGTTTAAACACACTGAAGTAGAAGGTTTTTATTTCCGCCTGAATATTTTTTTGCAAACGGACGCCTGCAGATGACTATAGCTGGGACTTATTAGCTGGGACCACAGCATGAAGCCTTACCTAGTCCAAGTTCAAATTTGATAACAATACCACAGTAAATTCATATTTTACACATGTTTTTCTAAGGGTATGTCTAGGCGTTTTCCAAAAAAGGACATTTGGAGACCCATGGTCACATACCTAGGCTGTGTAAAAGTGTGTATTCATAATTCAAACTAAAGCTTATTTATATCGATATACAGTAATCTATAAGTTCTTTTGCCATTATTCACTTTCCTAAAGTCTCCAAAATCACACTTTTTATTTTACGCACGGATGCAGGGACCTGACTCGCGGTTACGCAGTGACTTCCGTGTTGTGGCTCTAAATCTACCCACTGAAGCTGTATACCGTCTTTTTTTAAATTTCATTGGCTATACGAAGCGTCAGTCATCAGAACGATCGGTTGCAATTGGCTCGAGCTTTACACGAAAGAAGAGGGGCAGGCATTTTCATTCAACGCGGACTCTCGTTGGCTATTGTAGGCTGTGGACAGGACGTGGAAGCTCCTAATAGGTCAAGTGAGGTGTCAATCGAAAGGACAGAGTGCAGCCGCCATTTTGAGACCCAGAGACAATGTGAATCGGAGTTATGTTGGAAAATACATAAATAATTAGGCATATCTGCCGGTAATTTGAAATGATGCAACACCAGCCCGCGGGTATTTATGGACGTAATAATGTGTTTTGGACTAAATATTTTACTGGATTGGATCGTCTGGACCTTTGGCAATGTAACAAGACCATTTTTGTTGGAATATTATCGATGGGTGGAATACTATGAGGCTTCATTGGGGAGTTGCCTCAATTTTGTAATTGTTTGTTTGTTGGTTGGTGGTCTGACAGAGGCCTTGATTGTACCTGCTGTTGTGATTGTATCTTGAAAGGGTTTGCATAAATCAAATCACAAGAATCTTAGCTTTCCAAAGATATGTCGCATCAGTACCTACCTATACATAACACTTGTGTACATAACACAGGTGTACAGTTAACATTCCAAAAAAGGTGGGCGGGCCAGTGTTAACAGGTTTCATTTGTAGTTGACATTTATAAACGTTTGAATTTGCTTCTTATAATCATGTTTTTGATTGTGTCTCAATGACAAACACCGATTGTAAAGATTTTTTAACACTCTCGTTGGGTTTAATCATATTCAATAATCCGAACTGTTACATCCTCTCTATTCACCCATTTTAATAAGAGGATACTTCAATCATTATCACTACGTCAGGCTTATTGGACAGAGATTATGCAGTTGAGGCCATGCTCTTGTGCTTCATCTACCTCTGGCTGTGCCAATAACACCTTGCAATGAGCCGACAGCAACCGGGGCGCCCAGGGCTTGACTGAATAAAACATGTCTAATTGTCAATGGGGATGTGACAAGTGAGGCCATGCGCACACGGAGCAGCACGGAATAACAATTGTGAAAAACACTGTGAGTTACTTTTGGCCTTGATTTGCCCATAAATAACAAAGGAAGAGTGTCACGCAGCGCCAGCGATGAACTGGCACCTCACTACATCTCTAGCCCACATACCAAACAGAGCTGAAAGCATATTATGTGCTTTTGCATGCAGACAACTACAAAACAACAAACTGCACCACTACCAACTCAATTTCAATTGAATTTGTTTCAAATATTATCGGTGACCCATGATAAGATATGGACTCTTACCAAAGATCAATCCATTATTTTTTAATCACACAATTAGAATGTTGTCAGCCGATTGAAGAGGCGTTATCAATGGTTATCATCATTCTAATGCTTCAGACGGTGAATTGAAAGAACATGACTTCAGGTTCAGTCAACGAAACTGCTTGGTTCGATTTAGGAAAAGATTGTAGTTTGGTTTAAAAGACGTTGTTACATAATGTATGTACGTGGAGTTAGTTAAGTATGTGATTTACATTCCAAAAGTACAGTCAAATAAGTCAATGTTGACTTTTGGTTTCAAATGGGACACAAAAAGCTGTCCCATGGGTGAAAGTCCATTTACCCATCCTCCTCCAAACACGTGAACGTGAATGGACTCCCTCCATTGCTCCCGTCATAATAACTACCATTAAATCGCTGGATAACATTTGAAGCAGGTGGTTAATCATCAAGATCTCGTGCATATCTGTTAATTGAATTTGAATCAGGCAGTATATTTGTTACCTTGGGAAGTGTGTACTTGGGCAGCTTCATTGGTGTAAAGACATCCCTTTTAGCAGACACATAGTAGATCGGCCTCCCTGCGGCTGACACCTTAAGGTGATGAAATCGTTGAGTGAAAACATTTTGGAGACACGTCAAATAAAAAACAGACCAAGCATTTTTCACCACTACGGAGACACACAGCTGCACTAATAGCACTCTCTGAGAATGACCTTGAAAAATGTCTCATACGCGGCTCGAAAGCTTTTCACTGAGCAAACTGGACAATTACCTACCTGGACAAAGACATACTCATCTTGTACCACCAGAGAATTGGGGTCAATGTAGCCGGGGAATGGTTTGCCCTTGTTGGCATCGGTGCAGTTCTGCAGCTTGCAGGTGACATACAGCGCCTCTGCTCCCACGCACAAAGACACACACATACACACACGTCAAGTCATGGCATCAGCGACCGTATTAGCCAATGAAGAAAAGGCAGCCTTCATCCAGAGCCAAGCAGCCTTCTTTGTGGCTTCCTGCATTACACGTGTCAATAAAGTGGTCCCAGTCGGAGGGTGAGACAGATAACCACAGAGGCCAATTGCTTTCCTTGCCTTCAATTGCGGCGCCGGCAGAGAGCCTGTCCCCGCATGTTAGCCTCTGCCAAATATATGTCAGCTTCGTTCACAAGCGCATGATCAATAGTCTCTGGCTGCGTGACTGCAATTTCTGACACGACTGATGTTTGTTATGTGTGTTCGTATGATTGGTACTTTAAAGCTACAGAACATTATTTTAGTCCTGTACAAACATTTGCTCTGCTCAAACTAAGAGACATTAGATATTGCCATACAGACGTCAAGAACTTAAAGGTTACCATGCGTTAAGGATCAAATGTCTAGAAATGGTAGACATGTTCATTTGACTGTAAAGTGTATATTTACAGGGACTGTTGCATAAACCAAGCAGCTCATAAATATTAAAGTTGAACGCAAGAAGAGGTTGACAAAAAAAATAAATGGCACCAAAGAAGCTTGAGTTTTATTTCTCTCCACAGGCGTAGGTTGCTGCTTCCGAAAAGAAGCTGATATGGAACCATGGTTGCAAAAAGTTATAAGAGACTTTCTGTGTCCGCTGGAGATAGGGAAGTTTGTCCTGAAGCTTGCTGCTGTATTTATACTCTGCTCTCTGAGTATGACTACAAACACTCACAGCTGAATGAAGCACAGAGTTCTCCGTCAGCAACTGGGAGGGTGGAGGGGTCGGATTGGAATCGGACCTATCAGTGGGATTCCCCTTTATAACAGTTTATCATATTTATAGCAAATGAATGATTTCTTAAAGTTTAAAATTGCGCTGACATTTAATGTCAAATAAATAATGAAATGACAAATAATGGGGCAAATAAACAAAAAAATTGACGAAGTAAGCAAGTCAAATCAAATACTCTATAGGAACTCATAATATCCCAGTGTTCATTGTCATTCAGGAGGACGAGTGATATTTCTCTTTTCCAACGCAAGCTCCACTGAGCTAAATCACTTGCTTTTTAAAAGCATTCTAATAAATGCATTACTTTTCACTCTATGGCTATTGTCTGTCCCAAGACTCGGCCATTTCCGATGTCCCCCTGCATCACCCTTCAGCAGCATTGTCCACACACAACTCCCAATTCTTCTCTACTTCAGCACAATGTTCATACAGTGCAAAGACAGGAGAAAGCGGAGCGCTGAACACGGAATTCCATTACTCACGTCCTTCAGAGATGCTGGTTTCCAGGTGAATTAAGCCCGGCTCTTTGTCCAAACCCATTTTTGACCTGAAAGGCAGACAAATGTGTTTCAGGAACATCACCATTAGTCTTTAGCCTTCAGGCAGATGCCACCCACTGTAGCTGCTGTCTGACCTGATAGATTGCACACTGCAAAGTCGCACAAATGTATAACTACAAAGAGGTTGAGTCATGTGCTATGACAGTTGTGGTAAACATCAGCAGGAGTTGGGTGGAAGAATTGCCTTGTCTGCATTGTGGATGAGAGTCTAAAGTGTGACGAAAAAGGACCTCAGGTTTACTGTGTGATATAAATGTGTAGAGCCCCCAGATCGGATGGAGGAAGAGGTTTCCTGGCATCATTAGGAGAGGAAAAGCCATTGATTTTCTCTCTACAGTAGGGAATAACATATAATCATTAGGGCATTAAATATGTATTAAAAAGACTGGGGGATCACAGGGGAAGCAAAGACAGCACACACATGGAGGGAGAACAGGGATTGTGGAGAGAGACAGGGGGGGGGGCAGAGAATGAGTCCACAGGTAGCACACACCTAAACAGAGAGAGAGATAAAAGGGGACCGTGAGAGACCACCATAGCATTAGACGCATTGGTAATTACACTGATGATTTTCTCATCCAAACCCCATTTCCACTTTGACTGAATAATCCCCTCAGCTACTCAAGAACAGGGTGAGGCAGGCAGAGAAAAACTCTTCTAGTTAGTGGAGCTTCATGGTTTTGTTTAAACTTTACCTCTAAGCGGTGGGAAGCAAAGCTCAGCTTCTACGTTGCCGGCCCACTGCAGCGGCTCTGTGCTCGTGTGACACGAGCTCGGACAGCTGTGTGGTCTCTGAGGACACTAGACGTCAGAACAAGTGGAGCTGAGCTGTTGCTTAGCTAAAAAATATCCCATTCAGGCAGCTCCAGATGTTTTTATAGCGATTGGTAATGTCATATGCAAAACACTTCACGGCTGTACTAGCTAAGCTCACAAAGTGATTATAGCTGAATGCGGTGGAATTGAGAATGCCGTTTGTTCAAATCTGCACCGACCTGCGCCGTGTGACCGAGTGCTGGTCATGTTGATTAAATGAGCTGACTACTCTTCATCTCCTTCACATGCTTGGTGGCCACATGTCCACCGGCCATAAGCTCCCTCTGCAGCCTCATTACCAGGACTACCACCACAGCTACGGCACAGTATGCGTCCCAAAATAGAACTCTGACAGCTTCTGCAGCATCAGCCCTCCAGGCTCCCTTCACTCCTGGCTGCCCAGCTTGTTACTACCCTGACAGTTTATAGAGGTGAAAGCTTTTTGTTACAGTTAGTTACTGTGTAGAGGCCAGACATGCTAGATACCGCTGAGCTGGACCTGACACCTGTGACCTGATGACGACAAGACCATGTAGCTGAGGAGAGGACGGGAGAGCAGTGGGGCTGCACAATTCATCGAATATGAATCATAATTTTTGCTTTGACCACTCAAAGTGCTTTAACACTACATTTCATCATTCACCCATTCACACCCATCCATACACTGATGACAGGGGCTACCATGTAAGGTGCCACCTGCCCATCACGACTCTAACAGTCCCACACTGCAGGCACAGCCTGCGGGAGCAATTTGGGGTTAAGTGTTTTGCCCAAGGACACATCGGTGGACTAGTGGAGCCGCCATACCGCTGCACGTGCACCGTACAGCGGCAGCCAGTGAGAAACTTTCCTGAAAATTGTGGATGCTGTCCAAAATGGAAAAGTGATATACTTTATACAACTCGTTGTGCCCATCTGCTCTCTCCAGAGAGCCTGGGGGGATTTTACTCAGGAACGGGCGCTCTTTGTGGGAGGACCTTCTCCCCAGTTCTGCCTGGCCCTTGCTAAGTGTATTTCGTCCATGTACGCTGTGAACGGCTCTCGTGCGTGGGCTTCAACAGGCCTGGGGTGAAAGGTGGCTAGAGGCCACCCCTGACTGGATCTCGCTGCAACCCGGGGCCATAGACTTGCAATCGCTGTGCCATCTCCCCCTGCAGGGAAGAAAGGGGCTCCCGGCACGACTCAGGAGTCTGGGGCTATGTTGGCAACCCACCCAACCCGTCTTCCAATACGGGTCCTGTCTCATTTACTGGATCATCACCATTCATATCTATAACAATGTGTTTATAATGAAATTGTTTACTAGAGCAAACAACTAAATAGTTTATCTAGCCTCTTAATTTTTCTTGTGCACCAGATTGATGCGTTTGGACACTGGAGACACCTGTTATGACGAGGTGTAAATGTTATCAGTACAAATCATATCTAGATACAATGTGGATGCGAGGCACATTGTAATGCGAGGTGTGAAGGGTTAACGACTATGCAACGATTCCAGATAGACACAAACTATCACAACTTGGCTTTGAAGGCCTTGCTGAGAGGAACCATGAGATTATTTCAATCATTCATATACTTTATTTCAACTCAAAGGAAAACAGTACTCAGGCTGAGTCCAAAACTGATTTTGGAGCCTCTCTCCACGGCTGAACACTGTCGGTCACATAATGTAACTGTCTGCCACAGAGGACGATCAAGTAATCCAGACACATGAATAATTAAAATCTTAAAAACCTCTCTGGCTCATCCGCTCCTCACTTTGTAGAGGCGCAGTCTGTTCAGGACATTTACAATGTCAAAAGTGCCCTGCATGTGATGACGTCAACACTAGTTTTACTGATAAGTTGTCACACAATTTTTGTTTCGTAATATTAATGCAACAGTTTGTCTAGATCTGCATGAAATATTTACAATTGTTCAAGAATGAAATAATCCAGCGCCTCTTAAATCATTTCATTTGTACAGATACATAATTGTTTATTATCATTACTAAACACATTTAACAGCTTTCCAGAGTTGGATGAATCCTATCCTGTAACTGAACCTGAAAATCCAAATCATAATTAAAGCTGAATGATTCTTTCCTTTTTGTATTGAAACTGCAATAATAATAATAATACTAATAATACATTTTATTTATAGAGCGCTTTTCAAAATTCTCAAAGACACTTTACAAACATTAAAATCATCATAAAAAAGCCATACACTAAAAACAAGAATGTTTGTCATATTTATCACTATGCAGCTGTTACCAATTAACATAATGCCATTTGGACCGCAGTGGCTCCCCCAGACATTTATCATCAGGGCGGCCAGATGGGTTTTTATGCTGTGGTAGTTCATAGGCTCGTTGAGATCTATGTCAATATGTCATTCCAGTGATTGATTGATCGATCGATGGCCGTGCCCCCCCTCCCTCTTGGCACCGCCACTCTTAGACCGTCAATCTGTTCTCACTTCCAACTCGTCAAATACCAATGCTTTTTTTTTTATAAAGACATTTCGCAGGTGTAAAGTGACACACGTCATAGTTTGAAGCGTTGGGCCACTGAGCAAGGGTCGATTTTTGACGAGTTGAGACAGAACGTGTTGATCAAGTACAGTAATGTAACATTTTACGAAATGCACGTGCTGAATTGGTATTATTTCTGTACAATACTAGCTAGGTTAGTTACTAGTTAGTCAATTACTTCTATCTGACTGGTTTGCATTACAGAATCTTTGGAGGAACAAGCAACATCATGCATCATTATGCAACATGCATAATTGTATCTGATTATTTTCATGGAGAAAAAGCATACATTAGCTTTACTGCGTTTCAGACTATGGAGCTCACCAATTTTGGTCTAGAGTTGAATTTATAGAAAACAATTAGGCAATTGCAAGTTAGATCTTTTTTTTCAATCAGCCCTGACCTGAATAGAACAAAACCAGTGCTAAATCGTGAATGATGTCAGATCAAGTTCATAATTTTTTCATAAATTGTCGACAACTTGTTCATCAATGTCCAAATCTCTGTACTTACCAGTAGAACCGGTTGGGGGCCACTCTCTCGTGCACCACTTGCCACTTTCTCCCAAACTCCACCGAGCTGTAGAGCTGCAACAAGAAAACCAGGTGAGAATTCATTCACATAGCATCTAAACAGCCAATCAGATGTACCGCAACACAAACCATCCTACTATCACACGCTGTGCATTTCCACTTTTCTCTGGGTTTGTTTTCACAAGGACATGCTTAAAGATATTTAGGGATACAAGCATTATCTGCCTTCCAACACGACTACCTATTACTGCAGAGACCTGATTATTGCTGCACACACGGACACAATGACCACCGAGCTAAGAATGGGACCACAAAGAAAGATGTGCAGGGCGTCAGTATTCCTGCACTAGAGAAATGCACCGTGCTGTAGCAAGCCTGTGAACGGGGGGGAAGATGAGATGAGAGCAGCCCCGGCCTGGTGGGTGGTCTCAATACAGCCATTGTTCACCAGTCAGTAAATCAGTGGATTGCTCACATTATTACCACCCGACACAGAGAGGGAGGAGAAGGCATGGGAGAACTCTGTGGAATGGAACCAGCTGTCCATAAAAATGAGAACCTTCACTTGTTCCATTGTGATTTCAGACGTCCCGTTTCAGCTGATTCAAGTTTAATTCTTTAATGATATCAATTATTGAATCAATATTAAAAATACATTCAATACTTTATTTTAAATCTGCTTTTTTTGCTTGCTATTGAGTCACACCCCAAATTGCCAAAAGGAAAGAATAATGAAGCTTTAAATATAATTTTACAAAGCTATGAGCACCACAAAAAAACTCAAATCACTCCCTTTTCATTGGGGTGGAGATAGAGATCTCTGAACCTAGGCACATACAACTCAAACTATGTTCATGGCTGCTGTACAGGAGGTAAGTGAGCATGTTTTTTCCCTTCAAGTTCTAAAGGAAGCTCTGACAGTGGGGGAAAAAATAAGGTTAAGAAAAATCTTTCCAATTTCCCCCCCAAAAAATGTTTCATCTATGAAACAGTTGAAAAAGTGCACCACTTGCACTCTCTCGTGCAAGTGGTGCACGAGAGAGTGGCCCCCAAGTTTAGGCAGATGAAACCAAAAAACATTTGTAATAATGATAATACTACCTCATGTTCAAAATAGGACTAAAGGTTTCATGTTTTTTTCCAGGTGAGATGTAATTCTCAGAACTTGTTAACACAATATACCTTGTGTTCAGATTGGGTTTAGTAATTACAACTCGTTAGAGAGCTGACAAGAAATGATGGGAGAGAGACATGGCGAGCAACAAAGGCCAGGGTGGTTGCAGTCAGGGATGGGCACTTTAACCCCCTAGTGCCCCAAAAGTAAATTAACAACCTCACTGTCATACTCACTGAAGTCATTTTGTCTCCAAACACACCTGCATTCTCTGACAAAGCACAATGACAATCCTGTTTCCTCTGGAGCTCACAGCTGGAATGCAATGAAGCATAAAACTTATTCCACTGGTTCAAGCTGGACTTTTTCCATTGTGAGCATGATCAACCATGCAAAATGTGTAAATAACCATATATTACTGGATAACAAACATGTGACTCTGTTTATGTTCATTTATTTTATAATTGCATTTATTTACTCCATCCCCAAGGGTGAAGTGTAGGCCTGCATTTCAAAAGCATTCCTGTTATTCATTGCTTCCTTACATTTCGCTGTATTTTAACGTCACAAAAATTAAAGACAAAGGTTACTGCTGACTTTAATAGATTATTGCTTCAACAAAAATCAGCTTCAATGCACAATATGTAGTTTCCTGCTGCTAGGGGTCTCTTAATTAAAACAATGATAAAGACAGAGTTCGGTGACGTCTCTTCCCAACACTACCCTATTGGCCATCTCGCAAAAAAAGTGAAATTCACAATGGGTTTTCTACACAGGCTTAAGTCCTGTTTTTCCATGGCATCATAAAAGCTTAGCTGCTGGCTCACATTGATTTGCTGATAGTATTTACAGGTTTGCCTGACCACCCACCTTCTCCAAACTTGACCCCAGGTTCTACTCAGCCCTGAAATGTAACTCTGACTCTAGCTTCAGGACCATCAATGTCCCTTAAACAGCATGCTAGGATGGTCATCCCTCACTTTGCGTAGGTTATACCACAAGTACACTTTAGTCTGTAAAAGCCATAATGTTAGGATTCACAAATGGCTTCAGTTTAAAGAGCCTTCTATCAGTACAGAAACACACTGTATCCTAACCGTATCGTAAGTAACAGATTTGTCATGTTGAAAAGCTGTTTGACATGTGGAATAATGTAAGTACACAACTCAAAAAAATATATAACATAGGTCTAGCTGTTTTTAGACATTGTAATGCAAAAATATATCTAATATATATATATATATCATATTAAACCTTTAAGACTTTATATTCCCCTCCACCTATCAGAATGATATTGCAGTCCTGACATTATGTGACGCATATATATATTCCTCCACCATTGTATCCGCTCCACGGTGAGCATATGCAAACTATATATTCACTGTGACTGCAGCTGATGTGTGTATATTCTCATGTCAAAGAGGGAGAGACAAACTGCACGGGTGACGACATTACAATGACGTCCATGCCAAGCTGTGCTAAGCAGATGCAAGCAAAAGTGGGAGAGGCGGAGGGGTGCAGGAAATCACTTTGCCTAATTATCCTCCCGCAGCAAGTTAGTATGTAGCCAAGCAAGTGACAGTGAAGAGGCAGAGAGTGGGAGGCGGGGGAGGTGAGGGGTGGAGGGGTCGACACAGACTTTACAACCTCCAAAAGTCTCTCAATCAACAAATGCAGCAGCACTGCTAAAAGGAGGTGAGGAAAGTGAAAGAGAAGCAGTTTTGGGGGGGGGAGATGATGAGTGAGCGAGATGGCCCCAGACAGGGAGTGACCACACAGACTAAATAGTTAGTGAACCGCCGTCTGTTTCCACGGGCGTATTGCCAAACGGGCCTACAGGGCCCAGGCCTAGGGGCCCAAGGGCTCAGGGGCCCCTAAGCCAGAGCTCCTGCGTTAAGTTGTTGTTAGTGATTTGCATTTCTTGACGCATTGTCAAAGAGCTTAGTCATTCCTGTCAATAGCTCTAAAAGTCTGACTGAAAAAACTGGAGGAACAGCCTAAACCTTCACTTTGAAGAAGGAAAACAACATCGTGATGCATTTTATGTCCTTCAGTTCATCTATGGGACTTCAAGAGCGGCGTATTTTCTTAATGTGCTGTTGCACTGTTAATTGATCGTACGTGCGCTGTAAATCCTGTGTTCATTAGAATCATTAGTACCATTATCTCATCATCTACCTATGCCTGATTCACTAAAACCTTCACAATGGCCCCGAAATATGTCAAACAATGACAGTCTGTTAATCTCAATAACAACAAGTTTTTTGGTCTTAATAAATATTTAAAAATATTAGTGCTGGGCAACGATTACAATTTTTAATTGTGATTAATCACATGATTTTTTTGCGATTAATCGCATGGATTGTTATGGCAAAATTCAATAATGAATTCAAAAATAGTGTATTGCGCACTTATATTTTAAAAGTACTGCTATATGAACAAAAGGGCAAGAACATTTGGTTTGCAAACACTTTTAGACAAATCAGGTTATTTTTAACAGCAGTATTCCCTTTATACAGCAGCAGTTCTATCTCTTCACTATCTGTGCTCAGTGTGCTGACTGTATGTGAAACGTTCCACTGCTGTGCAACAGGAATAAAATGTTTCAGCACGTTTCAGCTAAATGTCTGTCTTGTGTTTTCATGACAGTCAGAGCATGTGAATGCAGCTCTACTGTTCATCAATATAATGCTGTAACTCCGAGGTGATGATGGTTACCCAGCGATGTCCAATAGTCTCCAGTGAGAGCAACAGCTGGTGCACGTTGTAACGCCTTCGCTTTTGTAGTCTTTTCCTTTTCATACGACTCGTGTATTCTTCTTGTGATGGTGCGTCTTGAGGCTCATACGTGCCGTCATTCATTGCGATCCTAAAGGTGCGTTCACACCAAACGTGACGCGAACGCACCTTGAGAACGTTCCTCAGACCGACATCTTCCACAATACTAATCGGCTGCAGTTTGTATCCACTTCTCTGTGTCTATCTATACTTCTCAAACACGCTGCATCCAACGTAGTCTGCCAAAGACTTCCTCCACCGCTGCCAGTGAGCAACGGACTTTCAAAATAATAATAAAAAAAAAAGTCAACGACCGATAACGACCGATAAAATAATTGTTGCCGTTAATTAATTAATGCGTTAACGCGATAAAAACACGTTAACTTGCCAAGCCCTAAAAAAAATCTTAGATTTACTTCATTGACAACTTTATCTTCAGTGTTTGTCATGCAGGACTGGGAACCGCTGTGAGATCACAACATATCTTTGAGGGGGTCGTGAGACAATTAACTGGATGGAAAAGCAGCACTTCTAAGTAAATGTATATTTAGTAATTATAAAGGTATAAATGTGCATTACTTGTAAACCTACCGAAGAAGTTCATTTTGAAAAGAGACTACATGTAATGAGCGTAAACTGACAGAATGTCCCTGAAACGTCCACAACTGGCTCTAGATGGGTATGTAGAGCTGCAGAGTTGAAAGTGAGGGCGTCTGACCAAGTGGCAGTGTTAGACGAGCTGAGTGTTGGGAAAAACTCAATGGTTGCAAACAAGTTCATAACTGAAAGGCTTTATGCAACACTGAAATACGCTTCTGATTTTTGAAAGAGGACGATTCAAGGACTCAGATGGGATTCATCTCAGACGGGATTTGTCAGAATTAGAGGTCAAATTCACTCCATCTCTCTTTAATACAACCTGAAAACATTTGTATGTAATGTTTACAGAACAAGTTCATAGAAAGTTGACAGAAAGAGAAGAAAGCTACTCTCCCGTCACAAGGTCTGTGAAGAGTATTCTATGTGATTTAGTAAACATTGCTCAAAGAGCTGAGTGTAGACCCAATGTCCTACTTTGAATTCTGTGTCAAAAACACAGTCCTCTAAAGAGACCGCTGTCATAGACCTAGAGGGAAAAGAGAAAAGCATTCTGATAACTTACACTCCAAAACTATGACAGGATACATTTCAAGATTCAGATTCTTTTATACAAAATGCTGTGATGACTTCTGAAGCCTTAAACCCATAAACCCCATCACATCATTGGTTTATGATTATCATTTAAGAGTGGTTTGAAAGCCCAGACCCTTATTTACATGTATTCATGCTCTGCATTCAGTCTGAGTCATTTAACGCCAGTAAGTTGGCGGCACAGCTGAATTCTAAAACTGCTAAAATGAAGTGAAAAATGGCTGAAAACACAACTTAAAAATGGCATTCGTGGCTTTCAGGCATCTCAGAGTTATCAAACAGCAAATTGTAGCACTGTGTGTCGGTATGTGTGTGTATGTATGTATGTATGTGTGTGTGAGTGAGTGAGTGAGTGAGTGAGTGTATTAGGAGGGATTATACTTTGCACAATGCAAGTATGATCTTCCTTCAAGAAGGGAAAGGACGCATGCTTGCACACACACACATTCACACACGCACGCACACACCCACACACACCCATGTCTCGTCAGCAAAGGAAAAGTCTACATTATTCATCACAACTGAAACATTAGACCCAAATGGGCTGAGCTGCAAGAAAAGCATTTTATTAATGCAAACGGTTATTTTAAAATGTGTATAAATTTGACCTCTCTCTTTTCTTTCTCTCTGCCTCACGTTCACAGACACAATTATTTTTGCATATATCCTGTACTGCCTCGTTAGATGAGTATCTATTTCAAAAGCATTTGCACGTTGTCTCTAAGCTGTAGCTAAGTATTGTACAGGGGTCATTTATGACGAGGAAACCACAGTTGTTTTGATAACTTACTTTGAGAAGTAAAAACGCTTTTCTACAAAAGACGTAGGCACTTTAATTAAATCAAAATTTTGAATAGTCTAGCTTCATGTTTTATATTAATATTCTGTAACTTAGAGATAAGTAATACATTATGTATGCTTACATATGAGATATTGAAAGAATTTCATCAAAAAACTGGCTCTTATTTTGGTTAAACTAGTTTTGATTTTCAAAGTCAGAATACAGATTTAATGTGGATTCACCACTGGATGCCACTAAATCCCACACATTGCTCCTTTAACTCACGGTCTACCACCGAATGAGGTAAAACAATGGTGAATGAGCCAACGTCCCACTGATGAAAGTATAGCATCTCATGTTATAAACTGGCATTGAACTGGTGAAACACAGGTTGACTTTTATTATGACGTAGTCAAAGGAAAAAGGAATGTGTTTGACTCTGAAAATGTGACTTAAAAACAAGACAATGGTCATTTTGTTCATTTTTGACACAAGTCAGGGAGCAATGAACGGTGAGAACGATGAACCAACTATTCACGTCCGTTGTTCACAGACTCATGCAGCACAAAATCAGATCACATTTGCTCACAGAATGATGGAAAAAGGCCAATTGGTCTTTTTTTATTAAAATTACAATAGTATTGAAACACACTGACTAACACCACCAAATCAACCAGGACTCCACTCTTAAGGACTGAGACTTTAACTTTGACCTAAAAGCCACCATTTTGACTGGCCACCTCAAATTTGCAGTAGAATCTCATAACAATGAATTTATGGATCAAAGTGTTTGATTAAAATCTTGCCATTTTGACTTGATAGGTAAACATTGTGTTGTTTTGATGTAGAAAGTCAAACTTTAATAAGATATCGACTTAAATTATCCAATCTATGTGTATCTGCTTCTCTCCCAAATGAATGTCGTGTGCTTTGAGCCACACTTCTGTGTGACAGGATCTCACATTTATCAAGCTGTTGTTTCTAATCTGACTTTACATTCAGCTTCTTTTAAAACCTTTGAACAACCGTCTGCTACACTAGCCGTGGTGCCCGCTCTCTAACCTTTTGGTCGTGGCTGTAGGCCAAAATCCAGTCCTCCTGCTCAGGGTGGAAGAGCAGGCTGAGGATGTAGAAGCTCAGCCGGTACTTCTGGTAGGTAGCGCCTTCATCGGAGCTGATCAGGAGACTGCTCTCCACCTCCGGATCAGTCAGCAGCATGATCTGAATATGACAGAAGGATGAGAGATTAGCGACAACGTGGAGCTCCACTCTGTGGCTTTCAGCATTTAACAGAAGGAAGGTCTGCATCGTTAAAAAGACAGACACAAAGTGACAAGTCAGTCAGGACGTATTAGCATATCTGAGCTGTAAAGCGTATTATTACAAATGTGGCCACTGATGTTGCCAAGTCAAAAATAATAATTGGTATCTGTTAGGCTTGATGATATAATCAGTATGATATATATATATTTATATATATATATATATATATATATATATACATACTGATTATATCATGTGTGTGTGCGTGTGTGTGTGTAAGTGGAGTTGCTGTGTGTGCCTCATCATTCACATTTCACGTCTCTCTTCATTCTCTCCGCCGATGCTCAATCAGGCCTTGAAAGCTATAATTTCCCATGAGCTTCTTTCTTTTCTTGGAGGTCCCACTTTTTTTTTTTCAAAATTCTGGCACGGTCCCCCAGAAGAGAAATCACAGAATCACAAAGAAATCCCCGGATAATATCAGATGCAAATATAATTGAATCAGTGGACGTCAGAGACACACAAGAGCTCTCATCATTAGCAGAGTGCAGTAGCAGAGAGTTTGGAGAGGCACGCTTGTGGCTGTGTGGATGTGATACTGCATGCCACTGCATGCTCATGTCTTTAGTAAAGTCTATACTGGTGCTGGAAAATACTGGCCCCTGGTTTGACCCTCATTAAAGATGCACGTTGCCTAAGGAACAACATACAGATGTTTAGCAGTCAGCTCGTAACAGACAAAAGGCCCAGTCAGCATCTTCTATTCTTATTCTCTCTTAAGGGCATAATATTCACTGGGGAATATTTGAAATTGTATCAAAAATAATTAGACTTAGTGCAGTTAATGTAGAGAAATTGGCTGACCGTGTTAAAAAAAAAAAAAAAAAAAAAAAAAAAAAAACTTTAACTTGTTCGATTTTATGTTCGTATTATGAAAGTGCGGCTTTGTTTTTGGTCGGAGCTGAAATACTGTCCCTGCGGCGCACTCAAGCTTTCATGTGGTTTAAAGATGGCGTTCGGCATGCCAATCTCTCTGTGGCCATTATGTCATCAGACAGCTGTGAGAAAGAGAATACACTGCTCTCACAGTCAATATTCTCAGTATGGCACCGCAGAGCAAAGTGGTTCTGGTCTCTCATGCTATTGAGTCATTTGTCAGCACTCGCTTGGGTAACAGCAGTTACCACTAACACCAGTTCATCAATCACAAAAGGCAGATATAATGCCACATACGTGAGCCCCATGCTGACCAATTCAATCAAATGTACTCAAACTGTCTGAACCACAAATCCCAATTAACACTGGGCTCACTCCCTGGAACTGCAACTCAGCTGGAAGAGTGGACAAATTTATTATTGACTGATGTATTTCTGGTGAATGGGGGATTACAGGCATGTACATATGATTCAGCACGCTAACAGAAATGTGTTCCACTAATATACATTGGAATAAGGAGATTGATACACCCAGGTGCAATCTATATGGAGATTGCTACAGTTCTGATGCAAGAGGCTTGTTTCTGTTTGTTCCATGAAACCTTTTCAATCTTAAACAAACAAGAGAAAAGGCTGGAGGACGGAAAGGATTCTAGGCTGTAGCATAATGTTATTCAGTTCAGGAACGATGGTGTGAAATCATTGGGGCTTTGCCTTGTTTGCATTCTACAGTTATTCCCTCTCCTCAGTCGCTCCACACGTAGCTTTCCTGCTAACGTGTGTCTCAAAATATTGTTTTTTGCATGTTGATGTGTGCATGAGATCCCATAAATTTATTTTGTGTGGGCTTGAATGAGAATATTGGATTCCACTGTCTAATGAAAAGGAGAATCACGCTAAAATAGAACAAAACTTAATAAAACTGGATTAGAAGGAAAATGTCACAATCCTGTCTATCCATATTTTATATCTGTAAGTATCATGAGAGACATTTCAAGGAAAACCATTTTTGGCAGTTGTTCTCACTTAATTTAACGAGTATTTTAATTTAAACTCAACAAAACAATGGCTGAGACACATGCCTCCACCATACTGTTTATCCTTGGCCAGTTGTCCAGTTCACAGGAAACAGGAGGAGGATTTTTCTTTATTTAATTTTATTGTTAACGTTATTTTGGCAGTTATGGCTGATAATGGGGCAGGACCAGCAAAGAGAAAAAGAAAAGAATAGACTGAAGAGCAAAAATTGTTGACAGAGCGCGACTAAAACACAAGCCAACCATGGGCGGTCTTTCAACATATGCAGGGATTTGAAAGAAGTCAAAACCGATCCTGAATTGCCCCATCTCCTCCGAAAGTGGTAAGTATTTTCTATTGTATTGCAATGTTTCCTCTTGGATTTTTTTTTTCAGGAGTTGGGGGGGAAAGGGTTTTGTTGCAGTGTCAGGGGTCACACGGGCTGGTGGCCAGCAGCGACAGCACTGCGTCTAACCAAACCAGACGTTTGCTGCCATTACACAGGTTAGAACATGATGACCAACATGCACCAGGCAAAAGACAAAAGTTTGTTTGAAGTTGAGAGCCTAGACCACTGAAGGGAGTGAACCTATTTATGACCGAGTTGCGTCTTCCTTTCACTCGCTTCCAAAACCAATGCACATGCTGGCCAGATCAAGATGTTTACGACACGAGGCCATGGTGCTCATAGAAACACAGTTCCTGTCCACAGGTTCATTCTCACCTTGAAAAATATACAGCCTCCTTCCTGATTTCTTATTTTTTTGCATGTTTGTCACACTTAAATGTTTCAGA